GTTGCCCTGTGTAGCAGTGTCATGGCAAACATTCGCCTGACACCAAGGTCATTGTGATGCAAGTAACAAAAAACTACCAGATGAAGACAAAAGACTGTTCTGCCATGTTAAACTCAAAGGAGGAAAAGCATTACAGAAAAGGCTGTCGACATACAGGGTTACTAAATATATTATTATATTTTGTATCGACTATGCGTACTCTCCTCTAATTCCACAATTATAGTAACTTTTTTAAACATATAGGCTATACTGGCTCCCATCAAATGGTTGGCAGAGATGAGACCAGAGGCCGCGAGCTGCTTTCTGAAACAGTCTTCATATTGCTATAAAAATGGAATGTCTGCTGGATGGTAGTGCATTGCAGTTGGCAGGATGACTATGGCATGGGGCTTACTGCTAGCCCTATCCTGGACAAGACCTCAATATCACAGGTCAATGAAGGGGGGAAGAGGTGGGAGAAAGGTGAGAGCCAAGGGAATGAAGAAAGAAGGGGAAAAAAAGGAAAGGAAAAAAATCACAATGGCGCAAGATAACAATGAGAAAAAGATGGAGAGCGATAAATCATTCATCGTTGACAACAGCCATTTGTGAATCACAGGAAGACGAGACTATCCTTTGTTGTCATTGGTGAACCTCCAAGAGGGAATGTGTCACTGTTTATATACAATGCCTTCAGAAAGTATTCACACCCCTTTACTTTTTCCACATTTTGTTGCGTTACAGCCTGAATCTAAAATGGATTAAATTTAGATTTTGTCACTGATCTACAATACCGCATAATTTCAAACTGGAATTAGTTAATAGAACATTTTAGAAATTAATAGAAAATGAAAAGCTGAAATGTCTTGAGTCAAGCCTAATTAAGTTCTGGAGTAATAATGTGCTTAACAAATCACATAATAAGGAGCACGGACTCATTCTGTGTTCAATAATAGTGGTTAACGTGATTTTTGAATGACTACCCCATCTCTGTACCCCACACACACAATTGCCTGTAAGGTCCCTCAATTGAGTAGTGAATTTCAAGCACAGATTCAAGCACAGAGACCGGGGAGGTTTTCAATGCCTCGCAAAGAAGGGCTCCGATTGTTAGAAAAAATAAATAAACAGATGCTGAATTTCCCTTTGAGCATGGTGAAGTTATTAATTAAGCTTTGGATGGTGTATCAATACACCCAGTCACTACAAAGATACAGGCGTCCTTCCTAACTCAGTTGCCGGAGAGGAAGGAAACGGCTCAGGGACTTCACCATGAGGCCAATGGTGATTTTAAAACAGTTACAGAGTTTAATGGTTGTGATAGGAGAAAACTGAGGATGGATCAACAACATTTTAGTTACTCCACAATACTAACCTAATAGACAGAGTGAAAAGAACGAAGCCTGTACAGAATAAAAATATTCCAAAACATGCATCCTGTTTGCAACAAGGCACTTGAATAATACTGCAATAAATATGTCAAAGAAATTAACTTTTTGTTCTGAATACAAAGAGTTATGTTTGGGGCAAATCCAACATCAATGAATACCACTCTTCCTATTTTCAAGCATGGTGGTGGCTGCATCATGTTATGGATATGCTTGTCATCGGCAAGGACTAGGGAGTTTAGGATAAAAAGATACAGAATAGAGCTAAGCACAGGCCAAATCCTAGAGGAAAACATGGTTCAGTCTGCTTTCCACTGGGAGATTAATTCACCTTTCAGCAGGACAATAACCTAAAACACAAGGCCAAATCTACACTGGAGTTGCGTACCAAGACGACATTGAATGTTCCTGAGTGGCCTAGTTACAGTTGACTTAAAATCGGCTTGAAAATCTGTGGCAAGACTTGAAAATGGCTTTTTAGCAATGATCAACAACCAATTTGACAGAGCTTAAAAAAGAAAAAAGGGCAAATATTGTACAATCCAGGTGTGCAAAGTTCTGAGAGACTTACTGAAAAAGACTCACATATGTAATCCCTGCCAAAGGAGTTTCTAACATGTATTGCCTTCATTAATTTTTTTATAAAATGTTAGCATTTTTCTTCTACTTTGACTGAGTATTTTGTTTAGATCGTTGACCAAAAATTACAATTAAATCCATTTTAATTCCACTTCGTAACACAACAAAATGTGGAAAGAGTCATGGGGTGTGAATACTTTCCGAAGGCACACATTATGATCAAGACATGATAATAGTCACACTGATCGACCAATCCAAGTTGTTTTAACTAGGAGTGCACCCATTTCATTCAGTGTGTTCAAATACTCAACATACACGATATATACAAAAGTATGTGGACACCCTTTCAAATTAGTGGATTCGGCTATTTCAGCCACACCCGTTGCTGACAGGTGTATAAAATTGAGCACACAGCCATGCAATCTCCATAGATAAACATTGGCAGTAGAGTGGCCTTACTGAAGAGCTGTGACTTTCAACGTGGCACCATCATGGGATACCACCATTACAACAAGTCAACTCGTCAAATTTCTGCCCTGGTCAACTATAAGTGCTGTTATTGTGAAGTGGAAATGTCTAGGAGCAACAACGGCTCAGCCGTGAAGTCGTATGCAACACAAGCTCACAGAATGGGACCGCCGAGTGCTGAAGCACGTACAAATTGTCTGTCCTCGGTTGCAACACTCACTACCGAGATCCAAACTGCCTCCGGAAGCAACGTCAGCAAACTAAGGAGCTTCATGAAATGGGTTTCCATGGCCGAGCAGCCACACACAAGCTTAAGATTACCATACGCAATGCCAAGCGTTGGCTGGAGTGGTGTAAAGTTCGCCGCCATTGTACTCTGGAGCAGTGGAAACGCATCCGACGGACGAATCTGGGTTTGACGGATGCCAGTAGAATGCTACCTTCCCCAATGCATAGTGCCAACTGTAAAGTTTGGTGGAGGAGGAATAATGGTCTGGGGCTGTTTATCATGGTTCGGGCTAGGCCCCATAGTTTAAGTGAAGGGAAATCTTAACGCTACAGCATACAATGACATTCTAGACGATTCTGTGTTTCCAACTTTGTGGCAACAGTTTGGGGAAGGTCATTTCCTGTTTCAGCACGACAATGCCCCCGTGCACAAAGCGAGGTCCAACCCCATCGAACACCTTTGGGATTAATTGGAACGCCGACTGCGAGCCAGGCCTAATTGCCCAGCATCAGTGCCCGACCTCACTAATGCTCGTGGCTGAATGGAAGCAAGTCCCCGTAGCAATGTTCCAACATCTAGTGGAAAGCCTTCCCAGAAGAGTGGAGGCTGTTATAGCAGCAAAGGGGGGACCAACTCCATATTAATGCCCATGATTTTGGAATGAGATGGTCGACGACCAGGTGTCCACATACTTTTGGTAATGTAGTATCCGTTAGTACCTCACTTTAGTACAATAATGCTACATTGAACCATAGCTAGTCACAGACTGTCAATTTGTACAAATTCCTGCCAAGGGGATTTGTCAGTTGGAGGATACCATCTTGCCACTGAAATAGTGTTAGAATGTAGACAGACATGGACGGCGATACCTGGAAGTTCTAGGGAGTCCCAATAAAACTGAAACGCAAAAAGGTAACTGTTTTGTGAGCTGTATCATTCTCACAATAATGATTAAATTATCAATACAAAGCAAGCCATTCTCTGTGTACTTAATGAAGTATCACATTATTATATAGATCCTACAGTTTGAAAAGGTACATTTCAATGGTGTATTAACTTTGTGGTAACTGTTAGCGCTTTGAGATAAAAAATCTATAAACACATTCAATCATAGTGATTTTCAGTCATCAACTCTGTTATCTGTCAATTCCATTATCTGAGTACAGAAATGTTATCATCATAGCATTTCAATGTCATTAAATTATCCATGATGCATATTTAGTTATGATTGTCAATAATTTGTTCTCTGTAATAGTCTAATAGTATGCAGAGCAAAAATTGTGTTATGCTTCACTTAAAACTTATGCTTTACATGTGAACCACTTTTTTTAATGCGACCAGAAATAACTCAAAATATATTAAGATATGACTCAAAATATATTATTAAAAACCTGAATGCCCAATTCAATTTGATAGTTTTGTTTGAAAAGTAATGCCCTTACATCAAAATAGACCTTATCATCATCACTGTATCAATTTCCCCCTAAGGCTAGATTTAAGACAATCAAGGGTTAATTTACCGTTTCCTTCCTTCCTGCCTGTTGCGTCACTAGCATTTGGGCTAACGTATAAGAATGCACTATTTGTTAGTGAGTAAGGTACAGGTTTCACACCCCATTGGTTTCATAGCAACATTTGCAAACATACATTAATATTGGAGATTCAAGAGAGAGGTTACAACTGGCTGGCTATAAACTGGCCAGTTTATACAAACAGAGAGAGGACCTTCACATTTCAAAGGGCCCATTACCAAAGGCATATGATCCTAGTAACAATCTATACTCTTAAACTAAATCCTATGCGCTCTGTGTGGCAGCATTTTTGGCTCTGGACATTTTTTGTTGTGGATAGACTTTCCACAGCAGTATTATATTTCGTCTTTCGTATGAGCTCCACAATAAAAAATAACCATGTTCACTTATAAAGTAAAAAAAAGGTAATCCCCACCACACTAAAAAAAATGAAAAAAAACCTGTAGTATTTAAAAAACCTAGGAGTGTTATAATAGCACTGACAAACTTTATAATGACGCTGCTGTATGGGTAAGTGGTTTCTCTGCTTCATACATGTAGATTGTCGTTTTCTCAAGTGTTCAGTGCAAAAATAAATAGCTTGAGCCCACACACCCCTCTCTGAGAGAGTGGAAATACTGTCAGGGCGTGAGAGTGAGACGAGAAGTCTAAGTATTGAGTTTGGTTTCTTCGACAAACTGTGCACCACCCTTGTGTACCACCCTGGCACCAGGTGGCTTCCTCTTCCTTCCAGGGTGCAATGGGGACTCATTGTCACCTAGGGTTACCAGTTTCATTGGTGCCTCCCCCCCAACCAGGAGAGGGAGATAGAAGGGGGAGGGGTGGCTATGAGCCATCCTGAAGCTCCTTGGCTTTGGCCAGGATGGTGTGGACATCTGAGATGGGGTAGTCCTGAAGAAGAACATGGACAATCAGTCAAATGTCAAATAAAACCACCTTAGTTGCCCAAGCATGACCTACATTGGCCCCACTATTTGGATAGACCCTTTTAGATGGTCTTACCTGCAGCAGTCTCATGTTGACCGTGAAGTCTCCTGCCAGCAACTGATCTCGAATCAGTCTGAAACCACACAAATAGAAATAACAAACATAAAACATTATATGGTAAGATCCAAATCATATCCAATTCCATCCAAATTCAAGTCAATTCAGGAATTGCATTGCATTCCTAAAATAATCTACAGATTTGGGGAATTGGCTATGGGGTCAATCTGGGGTTATGGACGCTGGTTCGTCCAGGGGGTTGTGCTTCATTTCTGGGCAGGACAGAAGGGGGAACTCACACAAGCATGGCGCAGCAGACCAGGATGAGGAAGTCGAAGCGGTCCTGGTCGGAGAAGAGTGTGTCCCAGATGCGGATGACGTCGGGCAGGAGGAACTCCTGGGACAGCAGCAGGGTCAGCCAGCGGAAGGTGAAGTACTGCGGCTTGATGTTCTGCTCCTGCTGTTAGAGAGAAGGGAGGGAGGGAAAGTGAGAGAAGTTGAAAGATTGAACTAGCCTCCATCATTACTACAAACATAACATTAGCCCACTAAATCCAACACAATTTTTGTAATTGCATGATGTGTACTCCTACCAAACCCACCCCCCTCCACTACCCCTACAAACTTCTATCCTTTCAGAGCCGTGAAGGGGAGTCAACAAGGGCCTAGGGATGGCTTTGGGACTGGGCCCAGGAGGCCTTTGCTCACCAATTTCATATAGAGGTCCATGTCCTTCTCTTTGAGCATGGAGTAGACGCTCTCCATCTTATAGGTGATGCCGCACTGCGAGTCGTCCAGGCTCTTGATGAACATGTCCCGGTTCTCTGACATCAGGTTGGTGAAACAGAAGAAGGTGTCCGCCTCGGCGTGCTCTGATTGGTTGGACAGGCAAATCAATCAATCAGTCGATCAATCGTGCCCTACCTAGTGTCAATTGTGTCTGTCTGTCTGTTCAACGACTGCCAGTCAATCAATATATTATAAACAGTAACCATGTTACCATATAAAAACAAATCAAGACAGCTGTGATGGAAATAGAAAGTGTCAGAACAATTTCAAAAATGTTGACAGACAATTTGTTCGTAAGACATGGTGGGATCTTTTTGTGTCGGTAAAATGAATTATTGGGGTGGAAACGATTTCTTGCGCAATTGTTGATAGAATAACTATCATGTCGAGGTAGATTTGCAGTCACGCGATGCTATGTTGTGTGGTGGTCCGACTACGACTTGAAAAAGAATGCACCGTTTATTAGGCTACAGATTAAATAAGCTATAATGAACTTCATAGGGCGGTGAAAGTGCACAGTGATGAGATTGATGCTCCTTTCCAATAAATAGAGGGCCTTAATTTGTATGTTAGTGACATGGTGATCAGTACTTAGCTGCCAATTAACAAATAAGAATGATCTTATCCATCTCATCATACAACCTAACCTGTCCACTTTATCAGCGAACTGTTGTCTAGAGAGAAGATTGGGCAAGTTTGCCATTTATCACAACAGTTTGTGTGATAAAACCATAGATAAGAGTGAAAAATGCAATGGAAACATTGAACGGGATGTTTTTTATTCGTGGCATGAGAACTTTAGCGCAAAATTGGTTTTTATGTGCTATATGTCATCATCACGCACAGCCTTTTTTATAATATTTGCATGAAAATATGTCGCAAATTGGATGGAAACCTAGCTAGTAAAATACTTATTTAGAGGTGGCACAATAACAATCTGAAGATGAGATGGAAGAATATGAAATGTTGGCCATCCCTAATTTCTCCTCTAGGTGGCAGTGCTGACTCAGCTTGATCCATTCCATCACAGAACATTAGCACTCTGATGCAGAGACCAGTGGAAAGTAGTAGCAGGCAGCAGCAGAATGAGCTGATGTTTGCGATTAATACAATAGAATAGTACTTTATTTGTCCATCTACACTAGAGACGAAAATGTGTCTTCTGCTATGCTCCCAAAACATGCATGCACACACATACACTACCGTTCAGAGTTGCAAAGAAAAAGCCATATCTCAGACTGCCCATCTTAATCTTTTCTTTATATTGGCCAGTCTGATATATGGATTTTCCTTTGCAACTCTGCCTAGAAGGTCAGCATCCCGGAGTCGCCTCTTCACAATTGACGTTGAGACTGGTGTTTTGCGGGTACTATTTAATGAAGCTGCCAGTTGAGGACCTGTGAGGCGTCGGTTTCTCAAACTAGACACTAATGTATTTGTCCTCTTGCTCAGTTGTGCACCGGGGCCTCCCACTCCTCTTTCTATTCTGGTTAGAGCATGTTTGCGCTGTTCTGTGAAGGGAGTAGTACACAGCGTTGTACGAGATCTTCAGGTTCTTGGCGATTTCTCACATGGAATAGCCTTCATTTCTCAGAACAAGAATAGACTGACGAGTTTCAGAAGAAAGTTATTTGTTTCTGGCCATTTGAGCCTGTAATTGAACCCATAATTGCTGATGCTCCAGATACTCAACTAGTCTCAAGGCCAGTTTTATTGCTTATTTAATCAGCACAACCATTTTCAGCTGTGCTAACATAATAGCAAAAGGGTTTTCTAATGATCAATTAGCCTTTTAAAATGAAAAACTTGGATTAGCAAACACAACGTGCCATTGGAACACAGGACTGATGGTTGCTGATAAATGGGCCTCTGTACACCTATATAGATATTCCATTAAATATCAGCCGTTTCCAGCTACAATAGCCATTTACAACATTAACAATGTCTACACTGTATTTCTGATCAATTTGATGTTATTTCAATGGACCAAAAAATTGCTTTTCTTTCGAAAACAAGGAAATTTCTAAGTGACCCCAAACTTTTGAACGGTAGTGTACGTCCCCTCCTGCACCCACCTTTCCACTCGTTGTTGGGGTCAATGGCAAAGGTGTAGTAAATGGGGCCCACCACCTCGTTCATGCCCTGCACGTAGGCAATGCCCGGGTTGAGCTTGGCGTAGATGAACAGGATGCGCTCCACCACCTCCCAGTGGGCCTCGCAGCCGCTGGGCAGCACCTCGTACTCGTTGGACGGGTAGAGGTTAAGGGCCTTGCCCGGGGAGCTCACCTGGAGATGGGGAGCGGAGGAGAGAGCAAAGAATTAGGACCGGATGAGAAACAACCCCTAGTTATGTGCTTGTGTAGATCTGAAAGGATTGGATAGGTATACAGTGAGGGAAAAATGTATTTGATCCCCTGCTGATTTTGTACGTTTGCCCACTGACAAAGAAATGATCAGTCTATAATTTTAACGGTAGGTTTATTTGAACAGTGAGAGACAGAATAACAACAAATAAATCCAGAAAAACGCATGTCAAAAATGTTATAAATTGATTTGCATTTTAATGAGGGAAATAAGTATTTGACCCATCTGCAAAACATGACTTAGTACTTGGTGGCAAAAACCCTTGTTGGCAATCACAGAGGTCAGACGTTTCTTGTAGTTGGCCACCAGGTTTGCACACATCTCAGGAGGGATTTTGTTCCACTCCTCTTTGCAGATCTTCTCCAAGTCATTAAGGTTTCGAGGCTGACGTTTGGCAACTCGAACCTTCAGCTCCCTCCACAGATTTTCTATGGGATTAAGGTCTGGAGACTGGCTAGGCCACTCCAGGACCTTAATGTGCTTCTTCTTGAGACACTCCTTTGTTGCCTTGGCCGTGTGTTTTGGGTCATTGTCATGCTGGAATACCCATCTACGACCCATTTTCAATGCCCTGGCTGAGGGAAGGAGGTTCTCACCCAAGATTTGACGGTACATGGCCCGTCCATTGTCCCTTTGATGCGGTGAAGTTGTCCTGTCCCCTTAGCAGAAAAACACCCCCAAAGCGTAATGTTTCCACTTCCATGTTTGACGGTGGGGATGGTGTTCTTGGGGTCATAGGCAGCATTCCTCCTCCTCCAAACACGGCGAGTTGAGTTGATGCCAAAGAGCTCGATTTTGGTCTCATCTGACCACAACACTTTCACCCAGTTCTCCTCTGAATCATTCAGATGTTCATTGGCAAACTTCAGACGGACATGTATATGTGCTTTCTTGAGCAGGGGGACCTTGCGGGCGCTGCAGGATTTCAGTCCTTCACGGCGTAGTGTGTTACCAATTGTTTTCTTGGTTACTATGGTCCCAGCTGCCTTGAGATCATTGACAAGATCCTCCCGTGTAGTTCTGGGCTGATTCCTCACCGTTCTCATGATCATTGCAACTCCACGAGGTGAGATCTTGCATGGAGCCCCGGGCCGAGGGAGATTGACAGTTCTTTTGTGTTTCTTCCATTTGCGAATAATCGCACCAATTGTTGTCACCTTCTCACCAAGCTGCTTGGTGATGGTCTTGTAGCCCATTCCAGCCTTGTGTAGGTCTACAATCTTGTCCCTGACATCCTTGGAGAGCTCTTTGATCTTGGCCATGGTGGAGAGTTTGGAATCTGATTGATTGATTGCTTCTGTGGACAGGTGTCTTTTATACAGGTAACAAACTGAGATTAGGAGCACTCCCTTTAAGAGTGTGCTCCTAATCTCAGGTCGTTACCTGTATAAAAAGACACCTGGGAGCCAGAAATCTTTCTGATTGAGAGGGGGTCAAATACTTATTTCCCTCATTAAAATGCAAATCAATTTATAACATTTTTGACATGCCTTTTTCTGGATTTTGTTGTTGTTATTCTGTCTCTCACTGTTCAAATAAACCTACCATTAAAATTATAGACTGATCATTTCTTTGTCAGTGGGCAAACGTACAAAATCAGCAGGGGATCAAATACTTTTTTCCCTCACTGTACACAATATGGCCAAATTTCTACCAATTTCTAAAATAAACGCCTGAAACTAGATCCCCTACATACTGGTCGGGGGAGGTTCTCTTCTGCACTGTTCAACCAACCCAGTAAACGTAGAGGAGGAGTTAAGATGGAGTGTCGCTTTGTTAAAGTCCAAAAGCGGATGTCGTGTCACAGGCTCTCTTTCCATTTTGCATGAAAAACTGAATATCCGGTTGTTGGGGACTCAGCAGAGGCTAATCAGAGGGCAACGTGGATCTATTACCATATTGCTTAGGGTGACAAAACAGATTTAAGCCACTCGAGAGTTCTTAAAGTAGTTGAAGCATTACAGCTCTCGGCCATAGAAGACCATTGGAGAGGGGCATCAAGTCAATCGTTATGGGATGGAAATGGACACAAACTGAAAACACCCATAAGTCAAATAAGGTTATCGACCCATCACCATTAAGCCAATACACTCGCCTGGACCTTACAGTACATACTCACCACTGTGTGCACATAATGACTGCATTGCTTAAAGCAGGAAAGGGGGAGGGGGATTGAACATAACACAGGGTGGTAGAGTCAGCAGATCTGAATAGTGTTTCCCCTAGCATTACCAAAACAAGGTCGCCCTGCTGCCTCCGGAAGTGGAGGCATTCACATTGACAGACCAATGTCTGTTTTTACACATAAACAACAAACACACACGACCCCCCCTCCTCTCCCCCTCTCTCTCTCTCTCTCTCTCTCTCTCTCTCGCTCTCTCTCACATTGGTGACCCCGCTGCGGTTGCGGTCCACAGTCTGGGCCTTGAGGGTGGTCTGTTCCACGCGGCGTCTGAGTGTCTCGTAGTCGTTCTGGGGATCCAGGATCAGCTGGCAGGGGTAGTCTGTGGGCCACTGGAAGAACGCCATGTCGGGGTACAAGCGCCTGCCATCATAAAATACACTAGTTAGTGTATTCCTATGTGGAACATAAGGCTTCCACGAGAGAGCCACTGTTGTCAATTTTCAGCCTTTTTGGAGATGGTATTACATGACCGGCTACTGGAATACATTAATAGTCTTTATTCATCAGTCAAGTTGCTCACCCCACTAAAGGATGAGTGACTTAAAATGCATGGAGATGCACTTCACAGTCAGCCAAAGAAGTACCTAGCTTGCTGCCCAGGCAGTCAGACCTACCGGACATCTTTATCAATCTGCAGCAGCACCTCGTTGTCTCTGAAGTAGTTGTTCCACTTGCTGTCTGGGTTGGGGTTGAGAGGCTGAGAGAGAGAAAGAAAGAGGCCGTGAAAATGAATATATGGGAGAAAGAAAGAGAAATCATATACAGTGGGGAGAACAAGTATTTGATACACTGCCGATTTTGCAGGTTTTTTTTTTTAATCATAGGTACACTTCAACTGTGAGAGACGGAATCTAAAACAAAAATCAAGAAAATCACATTGTATAATTTTAAAGTAATTAATTTGCATTTTATTGCATGACATAAGTATTTGATACATCAGAAAAGCAGAACTTAATATTTGGTACAGAAACCTTTGTTTGCAATTACAGAGATCATACGTTTCCTGTAGGTCTTGACCAGGTTTGCACACACTGCAGCAGGGATTTTGGCCCACTCCTCCATACAGACCGTCTCCAGATCCTTCATGATTCGGGGCTGTCGCTGGGCAATACGGACTTTCAGCTCCCTCCAAAGATTTTCTATTGGGTTCAGGTCTGGAGACTGGCTAGGCCACTCCAGGACCTTGAGATGCTTCTTACGGAGCCACTCCTTAGTTGCCCTGGCTGTGTGTTTCGGGTCGTTATCATGCTGGAAGACCCAGCCACGACCCATCTTCAATGCTCTTACTAAGGGAAGGAGGTTGTTGGCCAAGATCTTGCGATACATGGCCCCATCCATCCTCCCCTCAATACGGTGCAGTCGTCCTGTCCCCTTTGCAGAAAAGCTTCATGGTTGGGATGGTGTTCTTGGGGTTGTACTCATCCTTCTTCTTCCTCCAAACACGGCGAGTGGAGTTTAGAACAAAAAGCTCTATTTTTGTCTCATCAGACCACATGACCTTCTCCCATTCCTCCTCTGGATCATCCAGATGGTCATTGGCAAACTTCAGACGGGCCTGGACATGCGCTGGCTTGAGCAGGGGGACCTTGCGTGCGCTGCAGGATTTTAATCCATGACGGCGTAGTGTGTTACTAATGGTTTTCTTTGAGACTGTGGTCCCAGCTCTCTTCAGGTCATTGACCAGGTCCTGCCGTGTAGTTCTGGGCTGATCCCTCACCTTCCTCATGATCATTGATGACCCACGAGGTGAGATCTTGCATGGAGCCCCAGACCGATAGTGATTGACCGTCATCTTGAACTTCTTCCATTTTCTCATATTTGCGCCAACAGTTGTTGCCTTCTCACCAAGCTGCTTGCCTATTGTCCTGTAGCCCATCCCAGCCTTGTGCAGGTCTACAATTTTATCCCTGATGTCCTTAAACAGCTCTCTGGTCTTGGCCATTGTGGAGAGGTTGGAGTCTGTTTGATTGAGTGTGTGGACAGGTGTCTTTTATACAGGTAACGAGTTCAAACAGGTGCAGTTAATACAGGTAATGAGTGGAGAACAGGAGGGCTTCTTAAAGAAAAACTAACAGGTCTGTGAGAGCCGGAGTTCTTACTGGTTGGTAGGTGATCAAATACTTATGTCATGCAATAAAATGCAAATTAATTACTTAAAAATCATACAATGTGATTTTCTGGATTTTTGTTTTAGATTCCGTCTCTCACAGCTGAAGTGTACCTATGATAAAGATGACAGACCTCTACATGCTGTGTAAGTAGGAAAACCTGCAAAATCGGCAGTGTATCAAATACTTGTTCTCCCCACTGTATGCATTAGCTGAGACAGTCCAGCAGTGTGTTTCAGAGTAGGAAATGTTTCTATTTTGTGGGTAAAAAAATAGGGAGAAGAGAGGGGGAACTCACGTGGTCATCCATCGTCACATCCTCTCTGGAAAGTCCCAGATTGGCCTTAATGATGCCTGGCTGGATGATCATCTCCTTTAGGAACTGGGAATACACCTCCCTGTGGGCCACAAACAAATACAACATTATTGTATCTCTATGCCTGTGGGTAACCGCAAGAGACAGGGACCATCTTAGGTCAGCTACGCCTAGTAGTTTACTTTAAGGAGTTACATTTGACTTGATTTTCACTAAGGGGGAAATGCCCTCAAAGATACAGCCATGACATCATGGAGATACCAACATATTTCTTATACTGACCCAATTCTCTCTGGTTTACATGAATTGACTAGGGGCGAGGCATTGTTTATTGACAGGGCCATTCAAGGCACTTCAGGCAGGATCAATCAAACACTTGAAGGATTTGAAGGATTTCAATAATGTGAGGAGAGAGCCAATAGAAGCAGCAGACAAGCATGACTCATCATCATCATCACCATCACTGTCTCCCGGGCCGAGCAGACCCGATATAGCTGTCCTGTGCTGGGTGTGTTGTGTTTTAGTGTGAGATTTTAATAGGTCAGGTTCCATTATGACTCAGCTGTTTGTCTAGAAACGCTTGGTAAAATCTGAAGGATTCCAAAGTAAACTCCAGTGGGACAGGAGGGATATACTTGACTAAGAACTGGTTAGTTACCAAGGTATAACTCAGGCAGAGATGGAAGGATACACGTAGTGGCTAAGTCTTGAGCAGTAGATGTTTTCATGCACTATATACTGAGTGTCCAAAATAGGGCTGAGTTAAAAATGAATACATTTAGAGATGGCTTCAATTTCATTTTAAACAATCAAACCCTCCTTGCAAGTGCACACATTTCTTATTCTGAAAATGTCCATTAAATCTCCTCCTGTTGATAAAGAATTGATGTCCACCAGCACTGTTGGAGACGTTTTTACCTCTGCTTTTTGAGGAAGGAGTCCCATATCATCTGGTCCAGAGGCAGGTAATTGAGCAGGACCTGGAAACATGGAAGGAAGTTATCAGAAATAAGAATCCCAATCATTCACAGATAAGATTAGAACAACAGGCTTAATGTAATACTAAAACTAAGGCTAATTATACATACTGTAGATCACGTGTCAAACACAAGGCCCGCGGGCCGAATCCGGCCCGTGACACAATTCTATCCGGCCCGCGCAATGATTTGGGTTGTCAATTCATTTTGGCCCACCTCCATACCAACCCCGATGCGCTGCACTGCCAACGTGCTGCACGCCAAAAGGCAGTGCATTGCCACAGACACTCCTCATCCCAGATCCACACACAAGCCAGTGCACTGTATCATATCACCACTAATGGCACTGACCTAAAAAAAGTTATAAAATAAAGAATTCACACGCAGGTATAACTTACTACTAAAGGACAATAGGCCACACAAGCGAGTATAAATGAGTCAACAGTTGAGTCATCTACTTTATGAAATTACAGCCTGATGAGCTCGCATCAGTGAATTCAATGTCAATTGCGCTACTTTCGTGTGTCCCGTTTACAGTGCGCAGCGGAGGGAAAGTGTACATACACCGTACAGACACATGACACAGTCCTAGCTAGGCTACTAAAATGTTGCAGTCTGGCTTCAGTTTTTAAAGCTTGACAATGCCCAAAAAACTAAAACTGCAACAAAACACCATGCAAAGGAGAAACATGTAGTCGTGGTCAAAGGTTTTGAGAATGACACAAGTATTGGTCTTCACAAAGTTCGCTGCTTCAGTGTTATGAGATATTTTTGGTCAGATGTTACTATGGTATACTGAAGTATAATTACAACCATTCCATAAGTGTCAAAGGCATTTATTGACAATTACATTAGGTTTATGCAAAGAGTCAATATTTGCAGTGTTGACCCTTCTTTTTCAAGACCTCTGCAATCCGCCCTGGCATGCTGTCAATTAACTTCAGGGCCACATCCTGACTGATGGCAGTCCATTCTTGCATAATCAATGCTTGGAGTTTGTCAGAATTTGTGGGTTTTTGTTTGTCCACCCACCTCTTGAGGATCGTGGTTCTCAATGGGATTAAGGTCTGGGGAGTTTCCTGGCCATAGACCCAAAATGTCGATGTTTTGTTCCCCGAGCCACTTAGTTATCACTTTTGCCTTGTGGCAAGGTGCTCCATCATGCTGGAAAAGGCATTGGTCGTCACCAAACTGTTCTTGCACTGGTCGTCACCAAACTGTTCTTGGATGGTTGGGAGAAGTTGCTCTCGGAGGATGTGTCTCAAGATTTTAAAACATGTTTTAAGTTTAAATGTTACAACAGCCTAACTACGTTTTTGTTATATGGAGTTATTAAATACTTGTCGATTAGGGTGGCAGCATATTATGCACATCTGCAAGCATAGCAGCAAAGGCTGGACAAATATGATTTATCTCTTCATTTGTTTTAATATGGTAAAATGCTATATACAGCATCCTGTAGGCTACATAGGTGGACATTATAAAGGGTCAAATTTATTCAAATAAAACAATGGGCTGTTTGGGTCCACATTTTTTTGTATAAACAAACATAGTCTATGTCTGGCCTGCGAATTCGTTGTGTTTTATCAAAATGGACCATGCGCTGATTGAGTAGATGTACAGTGTAGTCGGGAAGTATTCAGACCCCTTTCCTTTTTCCACATTTCCTTACGTTACAGCCTTATTCTAAAACAGATTAAATTATTTTTTCCCCTCATCAATCTACACACAATACTCCATAATGACAAAGCGAAACAACAGGTTTATAGATATTCTTGCAAATGTATTAAAAATTAAAAAACTGAAATACCTTATTTACATAATTATTCAGACCCTTTGCTATGAGACTCGAAATTGAGCTCAGGTGCATCCTGTTTCCATTGATCATCCTTGAGATGTTTCTACAACTTGATTGGAGTCCACCTGTGGTAAATTCTATTGATTGGACATGATTTGGAAAGGCACACACCTGTCTATATAAGGCCCCACAGTTGACAGTGCATGTCAGAGCAAAACCCAAGCAATGAGGTCGAAGGAACTGTCCGTAGAGCTCCAAGACAGGAATGTGTCGAGGCACAGATCTGGGGAAGGGTACCAAAACATTTCTGCAGCATTGATGGTCCCCAAGAACACAGTGGCCTACATCATTCTTAAATGGAAGAAGTTTGGAACCACCAAGACTCTTCCTAGAGCTGGCCGCCCGGCCAAACTGAGCAATCGGGGGGAGAAGGGCCTTGGTCAGGGAGGTGACCAAAAACCCAATGGTCACTCTAACAGAGCTCCAGAGTTCCTCTGTGGAAATGGGAGAACCTTCCAGAAGGCCAACCATCTCTGCAGCACTCCACCAATCAGGCCTTTATGGTAGAGTGGCCAGACGGAAGCCACTCCTCAGTAAAAGGCACATGACAGCCTGCTTGGAGTTTGACAAAAGGCAACTAAAGGACTCTCAGACCATGAGAAACAAGATTCTTTGGTCTGATGAAACCAAGATTGAACTATTTGGGCTGAATGCCAAGCGTCACGTCTGGAGGAAACCTGGCACCATCCCTACGGTAATGCATGGTGGTGGCAGCATCCTGCTGTGGGGATGTTTTTCAGTGGCAGGGACTGGGAGACTAGTCAGGATCGAGGGAAAGATGAACGGAGCAAAGTACAGAGAGATCCTTGATGAAAACCTGCTCCAGAGTGCTCAGGACCTCGGACTTGGGCGAAGGTTCACCTTCCAACAGGACAACGACCCTAAGCACACAGCCAAGACAACAAAGGAGTGGCTTCGGGACAAGTCTCTGACTGTCCTTGAGTGGCCCAGCCAGAGCCCGGAGAAACTCCCCAAATAAAGGTGTGCCAAGCTTGTAGCATATTACCCAAGTAGACTCAAGGCTGTAATCACTTCCAAAGGTGCTTCAATAAAGTACTGTGTAAAGGGTCTGAATACTTATGTACATATTCTTTCAATTTTTTTATAATGGATTTAATGGTGCTCCGTGGAATGTTCAAAGTTTCTGATATTTTTTTATAACCCAACCCTGATCTGTACTTCTCCACAACTTTGTCCCTGACCTGTTTCGAGAGCTCCTTGGTCTTCATGGTGCCGCTTGGTTGGTGGTGCCCCTTGCTTAGTGGTGTTGCAGACTCTGAGGCCTTTCAGAACAGGTGTATATATACATTTTACATTTTAGTCATTTAGCAGACGCTCTTATCCAGAGCGACTTACAGTTAGTGAGTGCATACATTTTTCATACTGGCCCCCCATGGGAATCGAACCCACAACCCTGGCGTTGCAAGCGCCATGCTCTACCGACTGAGCTACAGGATCATGTGACAGATCATGTGACACTTAGATTGCACACAGGTGGACTTTATTTAACTAATTATGTGATTTCTGAAGGTAATTGGTTGCACCAGATCTTATTTAGGGGCTTCATAGCAAAGGGGGAGAATACATATGCACGCACCACTTTTCCATTATTACTTTTTTTGAATACTTTGAAACAAGTTATTTTTTTCATTTCACTTCAACAATTTGGACTATTTTGTGTATGTCTATTACATGAAATCCAAATAAAAATCAATTTAAATTACAGGTTATAATGCAACAAAATAGGAAAAACGCCAAGGGGAATGAATACTTTTGCAAGGCACTGTAAATGTGCTCCCGAGTGGTGCAACGGTCTAATGCACATCTCAGTTTTAGAGGCGTCACTATAGACCCTGGTTCGATACCAGGCTGTATCACAATCCGGCCGTGATTGGGAGTCCCATAGGGCGGCACAGAATTGGCCCAGCGTCGTCCGGGTTTGGCCGGGGTAGGCCGTCATTGTAAATAAGAATTTGTTCTTAACTGACTTGTCTAGTTAAATAAAGGTTAAATAAACAAAAATAAAAAAGTGGTATTTCTAAAAACCTGTTTTTGCTTTGTCATTATGGGGTATTGTTTGTAGATTGAAGAGGGGATGAAAACTATTTAATCCATTTTAGAATAAGACTGTAACGTAACAAAATGTGGATAAAGTCAAGGGGTCTGAATACTTTCCAAATGCACTGTATGTCTATTAAAGGGCTGGAGCAACTCACTTTCCAGCAAAGTGCACGGATGCCTCCTTCAAATGGGATACCTGAGAGAGAGATAGGAAACATGAAAATGTGTTAATAAAATATGGGGGGAAAATACATTTTTGGTGGTGAAAGTAAAATTCTTACCGCTGAAGCAAAGTTCCCGAAGCGCCTTTAAGTCTAGCTTCTCTTCACTCAAGGCCACCTTGAAATCCTGGATCCTTAATTTGCACAAGAAAGGAAGAAATAACATCTCAAAGTAGGTTGTGTTGTTAGAGGCATATTGTTTGTTGCATTCATGTAGATCATAAAATAAGCACGTCTTAATGCCTCGCATCAAGAAAGAGGAAGGTAGTATGAAAAAATGTATGCACTCACTAACTGTAAGTCGCTCTGGATAAGAGCGTCTGCTAAATGACTAAAATGTAAATGTTACATTCCTATAACGCCTCATTCAGATTATACACATGCAGCAGAGAGACTGGATGCTCAGTCTTATAGAAAGAAGTGTGTGTAGAACTAACATGATTGGCTATTACATTTACATTTTAGTAATTTAGCAGACGCTCTTATCCAGAGCGACTTACAGTTAGTGAATGCTTACATCTTTCATAATGGCCCCCCGTGGGAATCGAACCCACAACCCTGGCGTTGCAAGCGCCATGCTCTACCAACTGAGCTACAGGAGGGCCTATTCAGCTATTCAACATCCATTTTTCATAAACCATATCTGTGATATTCTGATTTTTTTCTAACATACTGAACAGAACCAAATAAAAAGTTATTTGATTTCAATCTAGTATGCCTTTCTCCTGTAATAGCAATTTCTCTCTTTCCTCTTCTCTTTCCTTGACTTCACCAGCGGCTACATCCTGTTTGTCATGGATCTCTCAAACTGCAGATGATCAGCAAAGTTACTCGGCTTGGGGCTATTCAAAGGGAAAACAGTTCATCTGTTTTTTATCAAGCACCAGTGCTCGCTCACGAGACACCAGCCCTGACCTCAGATCATTAACGAACACCAGGCAAAAGTGCTTTGCTGTCACAGTTAAACCCTAACTTTGATTGCCCTTCATAACATTGGATCCATTATTTTCCTGGAACAATTAAGTCTAGAAGCAAGAGTGAATAGTAGCCTAAACGCTAGGGAAGCTTAATAATGAGAAACCTTCAACTTTTCTTGCAACTAAGCCTTGCAGCAAAATTTCAGCCATCAAAGAAAATAGGTTACTGTAGTAAGCATTTGAACCGTTTTATTTACAAAGAGTCTGTATTTTCTTGGCTACTCTTTGATACTGCCAAATAGCGGGAGTGTAAATAGATTTAAATCAAGTGAATTATTGTGTCCTGCTTTGAACTGCCCTTGTCTCACAAGAATTTAAAAGGATGTCCTGTTAGTATGTGCATTGCATAGGCCAAATGTTATGCAATAGGCTATATACCAACATTGCATCTTGAGTAGATTAGCTTGTACTTCTCCCTGTCTTTGGGGCTTAGAACTAACATGAAGTCAAATACAACGCACAGGTTTGACTGTCTCGTTTAAAAGGGTCTCAATTTTGTTTTGATAATTTGATCAGTGGAGAATGTGTGCATGATGTTAGCAACCTTGCTTAGTTGCATAATTGTATTTGAGGAATTAGGTAGCTAGCCCAGTCCTTCCTAACCCAGTCCTTCCTAATGTTTGCCACTACCTAGTTCATTAAAACCTCGAATTAAATGGTCCTTTAGGGAGTCATTCAGTTTAAATGTTTACATTTAAACGTTACAGTACCTGGAAATACATATAAGATAGTTGTGTCGGTGGACAGCTTGAGAGCCTATGAGCTAGCTAGCTACAGCAGATAGACAGTTAGGAAAAATGTTTTCCATTCAAGCAGACTGGAATTTAAAAACATTGTCTGCAGTGTAGTACAGTACAAAGAAGCGGGCATTGTCATCGATGTTGCTAGCAGATGTTTTCCCATTTCCTCGAGACAACGCAACCCGGCAGAGCTAGCTAGTTAATAACGTTAGCCTACAGGGCTTTCAGAGTCCCACCACATAATCCACGATCAATTACAGTGAACGCACCACATGAGATTTACGATAGACAAACATAGCTATATGACACTTAATCGAATGTGATATTATGGCCTACTGTCCATTTATAAATAAAATCTACATCTCACCTGCTTCGGTACGAGCTCGACATGTTGGAAGAATCCAAAAGCAAGACCTGCTGCGTGCCACAAGAAAAATACTCCGATGGTGAAACATCCACGACGACACTTGGGAAAGATTACTTTGCTGTTTGTGTTCAGATCTTTTTCTTCAATGAGGTTTAACGGCGGTTGGCATCCAATTTGTTGCATTACCGCCACCTACTATACTGGAGTACAACTCCCTTATCTATTCTTGAAAAATAAAATAAAACAAAGCAAAGAAATATCCTACCATCTAACACTACACTCACAACTACAAACCTACTAATAATAATTAACCCCACCCTTCTCCACTATTTAAATATACTCACTCCTACCTCACGCCCTCAACCTGAAATGATGGGACATCACTACTTAACACTCCCTGTAACTCTTCTGCTGTCAGGTCTCGCACACCCAAATATCTCTCTGCAGCTGCCACCACAACCTCAATTTTCTTCGATTTGCGTTCCATCCCTGCAGAACAATTAATAACCATTGCTATAAACGCTAAAAAACCCAATCTTACTGAAACATACAGTGCTATGAAAAAGTATTTGCCACCTTTCTAATTTTCTCTACTTTTGCATGTTTGTGATACTGAATGTTAACAGATCTTCAACCAAAACCTAATATTAGATAAAGGGAACATAAGTGAACAAATAACACAATAATTACATATTTATTTCATTTATTTCATAAACAAAGTTATGCAACACCCAATTCCCCTGTGTGAAAAAGTAATTGCCCCCTTACACTCAATAACTGGTTGTGCCACCAAATGCTTCCTGTGGTTGTTGATCAGTCTCTCACGCAAGAGTGTGAGGGTAGGTGTCTAGGTGTTTCCGAAGGTGCAACCACGGTGGAAAGTCCAGGCGGTACCTCCACCGTGCGCATTCCCCCCGAATGCCATGATCTGGTGCTCGCGTTTTCAAAGACTCAGGCGACTAAATTACCACCACATCGGGCGGGGGATTTTGCGATAAACCTTCGGGTAGACGCTGTACTTCCCAGGAGTCATGTGTATCCCCTGTCGCAGACTGAAACGGAGGCTATATACGTCCCTCCATTTTACCTGCTTCCTCAAGTTTCTTCTTTGTGAAGAAGAAACATGGCGGTCTACGCCCGTGCATTGATTATCGATCACTGAACAAGGCGACGATAATATTTAGTTATCCTCTCCCCCTCATTCCTTCAGTGATTGAGTCAATGCATGGGGCCCGCTTCTTCACCAAATTAGATCTCAGGAGTGCCTACAACCTGGTGCGTATTTTGGGAGGGGGATGAGTGGAAGACAGTATTCAGCACAACCTCGGGGCATTATGAATACCTGGTGATGCCCTACGGTTTGATGAATGCTCCATCCGTCTTCCAGTTCTTTGTGAACAAGGTGTTTCGGGACATGCTTGGTCGCGGTGTGGTGGTCTACATCGATGACATCCTGGTGTATTCCGCTAGGCGTGCCGAGCATGTGTCCCTGGTTCGCAAAGTACTGGTCCGACTGTTGGAAAATTACCTTTATGCCAAGGCAGAAAAATATATGTTTTTCCAGCAGTCCGTCTCCTTCCTCTGATACCGCATTACCACCTCAGGTGTGGAGATGGAGGGAGATTGCATTTCAGCCGTGCGTAATTGGCCGACTCCAACCACGGTTAAGGAGGTGCAGTGCTTCCTTGGCTTCGCCAACTACTATCGGAGGTTTATCCGGGGCTTTGGCAAGGTCGCAGCTCCCATTACCTCCATGTTGAAGGGTGGGCCGTCCCGGCTCCGCTGGTCTGCTGAGGCTGACCTGGCCTTCAGAAAACTGCGGGGTCTGTTCACCTCAGCCCCGGTACTGGCCCACCCCGATCCATCACTACCGTTCGTAGTGCAGGTGGATGCGTCCGAGGTAGGGATGAGCGCTGTCCTGTCTCAACGCTCGGGCACGCCACCCAAACTCCGCCCCTGTGCGTTCTTCTCTAAGAAGCTCAGCCCGGCAGAGCAGAACTACGGCGTTGGTGATCGGGAGCTGTTGGCTGTTGTCCGAGCTTTGACCGTGTGGAGGCATCGGCTCGAAGGGGCGAAACACCCTTTCCTCGTCTGGACGGACCACCGTAACCTGGAGTACATCCGGGCAGCGAGGAGGCTGAATCCTCGCCAGGCCAGGTGGGCCCTATTCTTCACCCGGTTTGATTTCACTCTATCATACATTCCGGGTACGAAGAACGTGAAGGCAGATGCACTGTCCCGGCTGTATGACACAGAGGAGAGGCCCAGAGACAACACCCCCATACTCCAGGCCTCCTGCATTGTGGTGCCAGTAGTATGGGCGATGGACACGGATATAGAGCAGGCATTACGCACAGATCCATCTCCACCTCAGTGTCCAGCTGGGCTGCAGTACGTGCCTGGTCTTATCCGTGATCGTCTGATCTACTGGGCACACACGTCACCCTCCTCTGGTCACCCAGGTATCGGTCGTACAGTGCGCTGCCTGACCGGAAAGTACTGGTGGCCTACCTTGGCTAAGGACGTGAGGGTGTACGTCTCCTCCTGCTCGGTGTGTGCCCAGAGTAAGGCACCTAGGCACCTCCCAGCGGGTAAGTTACAACCTTTACCAGTTCCACAACGACCATGGTCTCACCTTAGTATTGATTTTTGACTGATCTTCCTCTCTCTCAAGGTAACACCACCATCCTGGTCATTGTGGACTGCTTCTCCAAGTCCTGCCGCCTCCTTCCTCTGCCCGGTCTCCCCACGGCCCTGAAAACTGCGGAGGCCCTGTTTACTCACGTCTTCCGGCACTACGGGGTACCAGAGGATATAGTGTCCGACCGAGGTCCCCAGTTCCTGTCCAAGGTCTGGAAGGCGTTCATGGAACGTCTGGGGGTCTTGGTCAGCCTGACCTCTGGGTTCCACCCCGAGAGAAATGGGCATATGGAACGGGTAAATCAGGATGTGGGTACGTTCCTGCGGTCCTATTGCCAGGACCGGCCGGGGGAGTGGTCGGTGTTTTTGCCATGGGCAGAATATGCCCATAACTCTCTCCGCCACTCCTATACCAACCTAACGCATTTCCAATGTGTTCTAGGTTACCAACTGGTTCTGGCACCGTGGCACCAGAGCCAGACCGAGGCTCCTGCGGTGGATGACTGGTTTCGGCGCGCGGAGGAGATGTGGGACGCTGCCCATGTTCACCTTCAGCGCGCCGTGCGTCGTCAGAAGGCCAACGCTGACCGCCACCACAGGGAGGCCCCGGTCTTCGTACCGGGGGATCGGGTCTGGCTCTCGACCCGGAATCTGCCCCTCCGCCTGCCCTGCCGGAAGCTGAGCCCGCGGTTTGTGGGGCCGTTCAAAGTCCTGAGTAGAATAAACGAGGTCACTAATAGGTTATTACTTCCCCCGATTACCGTATTAACCCCTCGTTTCATGTGTCTCTCTTCAGGCCGGTGGTGGTTGGTCCGCTCCAGAGTCTGAGGTGTGGGAGGTTCCTCCACCTCCTCTGGACATCGAGGGGGCCCCGGCGTACTCGATCCGTTCCATCCTGGATTCGATGTGCCTTCAGTACGTTGTGGGCCTTCAGTACCTTGTGGAGTGGGAGGGGTACGGTCCGGAGGAACGGTGCTGGGTCCCGGTGAGGGATATCCTCGATCTCTCCCTGTTGCGGGATTTCCACCGTCTCCTCGCTGTCCCCGAGGCCGCGGTCGGCGCGCTGCTGGAGCTGCGCGTCAAGTGGGGGTACTGTCACGATTTCCTCCGAGGCTGCCTCCCCTCCTTGTTCGGGCAGGCTTCGGCGTTCGTCGTCACCGGTTTACTACTGCCGATCTGTAATAGACTATGGGAGTATAGCATATGGTTCGGCAGCCCGGACCTCATTGGAAAGGCTAGATGTCATACAGGGGCAAGGACTCAGAATATGTAGTGGGGCATTTCGGGCGTCCCCAGTGGCTGCATTACAGGTGGAGATTGGGGATATGCCATTGCAGATTAGGAGACAGCAGCTGGCAATTAATTATTGGGTCAACCTACAATGACATTGGGTGTCTCATCCTGCGAAAGGGATTTTACAGGCATGCTGGGAACATGAGCGAAGACAGAACACAAGCTTTGGGTGGGTGGGTAATACCCAGGCGAAGGAGATGGGACTGTATGGAAGGGAGTTTTGTCCAATGGTAGCTATTCCTGTAAATCCACCATGGCTACTCCCCCATCCAGTAGTTGATCTAGAAATGTTGGAGAGACTGCAGAAAGATAGGGAGAGTGTTGATCCATCTGATTTGTTTAAGAGACGTCTGGATACTATGTATCAGGATTTTGTGGCCATTTACACAGATGGTTCAAAAGATCCAAGGACAGGGCGTACTGGGTCAGCATTTGCAGTGCAGGAATGTGGGGTGGAAGTCAGGAAACGTATTACAGATCATCTGGCTGTATATACGGCGGAGCTGATGGCCATACTGTTGGCCTTGCAGTGGGTGGAGGAAGTCAAACCAGACAGAGTAGTTATGTGCAGTGTTAATGAGTCTCCAGTCCTTTAGCTCATGCAGCAGACAAGACCTGCTTTATGAGGTGCTACAAACCCATGGCAGGATTAGACAGATGGGTATAGAGATAATATTTACTTGGGTCCCAGCCCATGTGGGGTGGAGGTGAAGGAGGCAGTTGATGTACTGGCTAAACAAGCACTTAGTAGTGGGGATGTTGATGTTGTAGTTTCAATGAGCAAGGCAGAGGCAAAAAGCCTGATATATACAGTGATGGTGCAGAGATGGCAGGAGCAGTGGAATAGAGATAATAAGGGCAGGCATTTATTTCAAGGACAGAGAAGTTGGGAAGGGGAGGACGGCAGGAATGGACAGAAGAGAGGAGGCTATTTTTACAAGATTAAGGGTGGGACACAGCCAGTTAAATAAGACATTAAATGTGATATGAAAGCATGCAACAGGAAAGTGTGATTATTGCCAGGAAACAGAGACCGTGGAGCATGTATTGTAACAGTGTGGGCAGTATCACAGGGAAAGTGTGAGGATGAGATCTAGTATGAGGGAGAAGGGGATACAGGAAATTAGTATAAATAATATATTGAGTAGAACTTCATTACATATAGTCTCAAATATTTTGATATCTTTTTTAAGAGCAACGGGGCTGGCAGGTAGGATTTATTTTCTCCCTGACTCTGGCCCACACTCCAGTACAATAGGTGGCGGTAATGCACCATAACGTTGGATGCCAACCGCCGATATACCCCACTGAAGAAGAAGGACGCAATTCATAGCAACACAGGTGAACCGGAAGGGGAGGTTGTTTTGTTGACATCGGGCGAACACGAAAAACAGAGGAGAACATCAATTATAAAACAATTTAAAATTAATTGAATCAACCAAAGAACTACCCGTGTGCAAAGCTAAGGTATGACAGTGTCCGATAAACTGTGCAAATGAGCAATGTTGACAAATCCTGTATAAAGCTAGCTAGATCACCAAACATGTATTCACTAGCTAGCTATCTAATGTATCTAATTAACGTTAGTTACAATAGCTGAGCTAGCAAGCCAGCAATGGATTTGATGTAGCTAGGTATTTGTCATGGTTGCAGGTTACACTCTACATTTATGATGAAGACAGTTTCCCCTGTAAATATACAATCGTACTTGACACTTTTGATACAGCTACAGTAGTTAGTTAGTCAGCCATAGCGCACTGTACGCTCATCTGTAGCTGAGGACCGAACGCTCAACCCGGTTCTCATATCGAGGCCAGTTGAGCATTGGTAAATAGTTGCGCGATTTGCTAGCAACAACATTAACTGCGGTCCTTCCGCGGGGTGGTGAAATTCATACTTATAATAAAATATTTTATCGAATACAACCACCGACTTTTTCCTAATTTGTTTTGCTCAAATGGAGACATAATGGCTTTAAAAGTACTATGTAAGCTGAGATTCAATTGGAGTTGAGGAAAAAGTCAGAGGTTGTTCTATTCCATACCTTTTTATTAAAAATATGAATTTCAGCACCCCGCGCAAGGGCTGTAGTTGTACAGGTAAGCGTTTTCATGACGTGGCTAGCTAATTATCTAAACAACAGCAGTTGGCTAGCCACTAGCTAGTTGACATAATAATTTGTTCTTGATAAATTTGTCGAGGTGTTTGTAGTTAGGTAGTTAACTAGTGCCATCAAATCAAATATAGCTGTAACGTTAATGCTTCTGAAGCAGCTAAGCAGCTAGCTAAATATGTTATCTTGTTTCCGCAAACATTCTTAATGGAAGAACCACATTAATGTTATGGAAGCGAAGCCAGTCATTATATGTGCTGCCATTTGGATTTTACTAAATCCATTTACTTTGGACACGTAGCAGAAGAACTGGTATAAATTACACCTGCCAAGTCCCACTTGTTTAGGTGTTGCTCAAATGGGAATGCTTGCTTTATTTAGCGAACTAGCTAGCTAAATACTTTGTTTACAGTCATAATCATAATTTTTTATGACAATGTACAGTGTTAACAATGAGTTTAAGATAACTTGCATCATTAGACTGTAATTGCCGTTTCCCTAAACATGAAGTATATACTTTTTAGATATTTCTATCAAAGCAATGTTAAGTAGCCTAATGACAACAACTTGTCTTTATTTGTCTCCAGCAGCTTCTTGTAGACCTAACCCTGGAGTTAGGGAGGTCTTGAGCACACTGCCTCATCTGTGACCACCTCGTCTATCCCGATGCCCACCCTTTGATAGCTTCCCGGGAACCCACCCCCTGAGGCCACCTGCTTTGCCCTGTTGTCAAACATAGAGGGGAAGGGAGAAGCAGCAGCCGACATGGCGGCCAAAGCAGGGGACAACCCAGACAGCCTCATGGCACTGACCACAGCCTTCTGCCTGAGGAACCTGAGGAGGACCATGTGCTACCTGGGAGAGAGGAACAACCTTTGCCTGCGCTCAGACGTCTTCCTGCCCAGCGAAATCTGTGACAAGCTGGTCAACACGTACGTATAATTGGGATTTGTAATGGGTGCTAATCCTGATGTTCAATTAAGCACTGTCAGACTGGTTTTGCTTGTTGGTTTGCCTAATTTTTCACATTATGTTGCTATGGTTTTATGAGGTGTAAAAGATGCTTTCATGATCAATCACTGTATTAGCAGCGGCTCATGAGCATTGATTTATGACTTGCAAAAAATCACAATGTATAATGTATGTAAATGAATTGTGTCATAAATGCCAACCATAGTTTGATACTATATATCAATTTGATCTTATATCTTGAATAATTATTTTTCTGCTGTTTTATGTATCCATCTTCACAGATACATGGAGCTGGTCCATACGGACAGTAACTTTGAGCCGCAGGACGGCTTCTTCCAGCTGTTCTCGGACCCGCACAGCACCAGGCTCACCCGGGTGCAGCTGAGGGAGGACTTTGTGCGTGACAGGGACCTGGAGGCCATTGGGAAACAGGTGGGACATTGTGGAGGTAGATTAGTCTGGTCCCAGTTCTGTTTGTGCTGTATAGCCCCTATGGACCATAGGAGTTGGCTATACAGTGCGCTAAAATGCCATACAGGAAATACAAAAGCAGAAAAGGCAGCAGGGGTACTCATGGGATTTTGAGTGATGGTGAATTTAAAAAATACATTGAAATCCCACGAGTGCCCCTGCTGCCTTTTTTGCTTGTGTTTTTCCTGCATGAAACGGGTGGGGTGGCTGTGTGGAGGGCGTTGGAATGGTTTCTCCAAGTACCTTAGGCCTAAGCTAACCTCTATACAAATAAGCCATGACAAAACCTTCTTTATAATCAGGACCAAAACAACAGCCAGACACACTGATGCAAAAAAAGTATAATTGTGTCCAATGGCAAAATTTTACTCATTAAAAAAAGCACATACAATGAGTGAACAAAGCATTAGGAACAACTGCTCTTTCCATGACAGACTGACCAGGTGAATGCAATGATCCCTTATTGATGTTGCCTGTTAAATCCACTTCCATCAGTGTAAGTGAAGTGGAGGAGACAGGTTAAAGAAGGATTTTTTGGCTTTGTGACAATTGAGACATGGTTTGTGTATTCATCCATTCAGAGGGTGAATGGGCAAGACAAAATATTTAAGTGCCTTTGAATGGGGTATGGTAGTAGGTACCAGGCACACTGGTTTGAGTGTGTCAAGAACTGCAATGCTGTTCAAAAGGACAACCAGACAACTTAACACAACTGTGGGAAGCATTGGAGTCAACATGGGCCAGCATCCCTGTGGAACGCTTGTAGAGTCCATGCTGTTCAGAGAACTAAAGGGGTGCAAGTCAATATTAGGAAGGCATTCCTAATGCTTTGTACATTGTGTATAGTAAGCAAAATACTAATGCTAGTAATTCAACTGTCATTTAATAATAATAATAATTAATTAGCAAAAATGCATTATTTCATAACAAAATGTGGTGCAAAACGACTCACTGTATAATAATTGTTGTACGCAAAGATTCAAACCAACTGTCCAGTGTTAACACATTTTATATAGTAATATACCTTGACATGAAGGCCTGTCTATTGTATGTAATGGTTGGGGGAGACCTTGGTAAAGGACACCTGTCACCTTGTGTAGGATATCCACTGCCATTGTATCATCCAACCCTCCCAATTGGAGGACGGGGACCAAGTGGTGTCCTGTTTTCACTAATCACCCTGTATTCAAAGTTTAGTTTATTGTCATGGTGTACAACATTGGCAGCTAAGAACTGAATTGCAGTGTACAGTCCATACCTAAATAAATAAACAAATAATTAAATAAACAAATCAAGTGCTAAATGTTCTTGTGAGGTAGGGAGCATCACCGTCATAGCCAGGGGTAAGCCTTGGGAGCCTCGATCAGGGTCATTCTGGTCTGGTCTTGGAGCGATGATGACTGTGGTCCAGAGCCGTTAAACAGCGCAGTCTGGTCTCTGTAGCCGGTAGCTAGAAAGCTACTCCTCGACCACCACTGATCTCGCAGCACCCACCTGGGTCATGCCCCAGCAGCCAATGGTGTGCCGAAAGGCTCTCCGCACCTCAGCGGTAGTCTAAAGCAGCCCCGTAGTCTTCCCGAGCATTTGTGCACATCTCTGCTGTACTCTTGCTTAGGGCTTCTCCGCTCAAAAAACATAACACGCTAGCCAGTTAGCTAGCTTGCCAAACCAACCCTCCATCTGATCTTACTTGACAGTTTTATAATTAAATACACTGTTAATAATACAAATTAAAAAATGCAATCAAAAACAACACAATATTACTAATATTTATAGAATTTACTGTAGCGATTATGCAATGCTGCCTTTACGGTGTCACTCTGTAGGCTAATTCTGTAGGTTAATTCCTTGACATGCATGCACCATTTTGTAAAATGTATTTAACCTTTTGACAGGGAGGAAATGTTGAGACCAAGGTCTCTTTTCCAGGTGAGCCCTGTATATCACAACAATACATATCAAAATACCATGGCATCAAATCAGCCTCTAAAGTTCATTGCACGCGAGATGGCGCTGTCGAGCAAGATGAACAACATTGAGCAAGCAAACACGAAGTCGAGATCGCAGAGGACAGTTCCTGCGAGCAGAGGATGAGTGCTGCGAGCGCACAGACCAGTCGAGAGCGCAGGAATTTGGTCCAGAGAGCAGAGGATGTGCCCTGCGTGCGGACATGCCAAACTTGAGAGCTTGCAAGTGTGACTTTGGGTGAGCCGAACATCATTGCCGAGATTCAAAAAGAAAAATGCCTGAATCCAAAGAATATAAAACCGCAAGCAAAGAAACGTGAAAATGTTTTTATTTGAAAGCATCAAATTGTCGAACAATAGTCACGTCTTTGTCAAGTTTTCACTCTCAATTTCTCAAGTTGCTCTCTCTCAAGTCTTTGTATATTTGGGTATTTTTTCTCGATTTGGATTTCAGGTTGGTGGGGGGCGGGCTTAGTGGTGGTGCGTGTCTAGAATGGTCACTTACACTGGAGTGATGGGCGAACTAACAAATGCTTGCCCTTGACCTGTCCAGTGGGTCATCAATAGTTACCACAGCCACAAAGTCAGAAGGCCCTCCTACTCGACCAATCAGATGAGGGAATGTGATGACGCGTATGCCGGTTTACGGTTCGTAGGAACCGACCAATCAGATGAGGGAGTATCATGACGCATATGCCGACCGACTTGCAGGGGCAGATGAAAGACATGCATTTATTGTATCTATTGCTCCATCAATGATTCAGTTATTTATTAGATATAGTAAAACCAACCGTTTTATAAATGCAAAGTGTTAATCAGATGTCTTATTCAAACTCGGCTTGCAAGCGTATCATGTTTGCCCTTAATCATAGTTACTTGTCTTAAATCAAAATAGGTTTATTCCAATATCTGCATTGTTTTTAAAATGGCAACATGTAGACAAACAAATTTACATATCTTTAGTTAATTTTTTTATTTTCTTAATCCACAAATAAGTTTCACAGAAATGTACATTTTAGAAAATGGCAGATGTTTTTGGGCTGATTTAAGTTACACTACAAGTATGTGGACACCTACTTGTCGAACATCTCATTCCAAATTCATTGGCATTAATATGGAGTTGGTCTCCCCTTTGCTGCTATAACATCCTCAGCACTTCTGGGAAGGCTTTCCACTAGATGATGGAACATTGCTGCTGGGTCTTGCTTCTATTCAGCCACAAGAGCATTAGTGAGGTCGGGCACTGATGCTGGGCGATTAGGCCTGGCTCACAGTCGGCGTTCCAATTCATCCCAAAGCTGTTCGATGGGGTTGAGGTCAGGGCTCTGTGCAGGCCAGTCAAGTTCTTCCACACCGATCTCGACAAACCATGTATGTATGGACCTCGCTTTGTGCACGGGGGCATTGTCATGCTGAAACAGGAAAGGGCATTCCCCAAACTGTTGCCACGAAGTCGGAAGCACAATATTGTCTAGAATGTCATCGTATACTCTAGCGTTAAGATTTCTAAGGGGCCATGAAAAAGGGCCCCAGACCATTATTCCTCCACCACCAAACTTTACAGTTGTCACTATGTATTCGGGCAGGTAGCGTTCTCCTGGCATCTGCCAAACCCAGAATCCAGAGGCAGTTTGGAACTTGGTAGTGTTACAACCGAGGACAGATTATTTGTACGCGCTACGCGCTTCAACACTTGGTGGTCCCATTCTGTGAGCTTGTGTGGCCTACCCCTTCGTGGCTGAGCCGTTGTTGTTCCTAGACATTTCAATTTCACAATAACAGCACTTACAGTTGACCGGGGCAGATTTATGTAGATTGCATGGCTGTGTGCTCGATTTTATACACATGTCAGCAACGGGTGTGGCTGAAATAGCCGAATCCACTAATTTGAAGGGGTGTCCACATACTTTTGTACTGTTTTAAATGTGCAAAAAAATAACAAATGTATCATTCAACGTAAGATTCCACCTAAAATGACATGAACTCTGTCCCAATTAATCTCAGCTCAACTCCTCACTTCCTACTCGCATCCTTCTCAAAACCCATTGGAGGTCTGAGGGGAGGAACCTTGGGTCCTCTCTTCCGATGGGGTTTTAGGAGGAAGCACGAAAAAAGGCAAGGAATCGAGGAAAGATAAAATGGCACCGAGCTGTTGCATGTTTGCCTCAATATGGAATGGCAGACCTCACTGTGTGTTAAGGCAGGTTGCCTATTGAAGAATGCACTGGGTGATATAGGAGCTGATACAGGTTGCTGGTGTCCCGGTAATAAGAGGACAAGGATAGGGAAAGAGACTTTAGGTTCCAGTTTAGAGAGATTTAGCTCTCATTTATTTGTCCCAAACAATGATCCATTTCATTTCCATATGTTTGTGGTTGGATATTGGACACACAGATAAAGGAAATCAAAGGGATAAATGCTGGAGAGTTCTTCCAAGGCATGGTTTGTTTGACACTGAGCTAAAAGACAAAGGAAACTCTGGTATTTATTAAGTGACTTGGTTGCAGGTGCATTTAGAGCAAAGAGATGTATAGTGGTCTCTAGTGCCCAAAAGCCTATCTTAACATGGGCAGTGCTGATACTTTGCGATCTCTATACATATATGTGGCTCAGAGGTGCCTGCAGTTAAAGGAAAAGTTAACCAAAAAGTCAAATTAAAGTGACAGTTCCCTAAAAAGTATAAGAAAAATGAGAGCCTTTTCTACAGCCGCCTCCATAAACGGTCTCTGCTGGTTTTGCTCTTACACCTCAAAGGCTCTAAGCGGCCTGGTTTAATCCGGGTTGTCCTTGACCTCAGGCAAGGGAATCAGACGGGTCACTGGTCTGAGGTGGGTATGAAGTTGTCCCAAATGTGGTCAGCCAGGACTTGGCTATGGCGCATTCGGAAAGTATTCAGACATCTTCCCCTTTTCCACATTTTGTTCCGTTTAATTCTAAAATTGATTAAATAAAAAAATGTCATCAATCTACACACAATACCCCATAATGACCAAGCAAAAACAGGTTTTTAGAAATGTTTGCAAATGTATTAAAAATAAAAAACTGAAATACCTTATTTACACAAGTATTCAGACCCTTTGCTATGAGACTCGAAATTGAGCTCAGGTGCATCCTGTGTCTCTTGATCATCCTTGAGCTGTTTCTACAACTTGATTGGACATGATTTGGAAAGGCACACACCTGTCTATATAAGGTCCCACAGTTGACAGTGCATGTCTGAGCAAAAACCAAGCCATGAGGTCGAAGGAATTGTCCGTAGGCGGTTCTGCCAGGTCTGGAATTGGGTGGGATCAGAAAGTTTGGTGCTGGGAGATACTGTAACATAGAGGCAGTAGGTTACCTTCTTCAGCTCCTATGTTGCCTCTTCCAACGTTGGAGTTGACGGCCAGGTTGGGCATGCTGGCGGCTCAGAGACAGACTGAGATGGGTTGGTAACCTAACCAGACTGTGAAGGCTGGAGTGGGTATTGGGTCTGGGCCCCACTGGTAAACAGTGAAAGTTGAGGTGAAATTTGGGACTGACTTTGCAGGTCTGGCTGAGGTGGGTTCAGCAACATCCTTTGACAACGCCGGTTAAGGTGGGGCTTGTTTGTAGACCCCACTGGTGGTCAGCGGATGTGGAGGTTGGTTCGGAAAGTATTCAGACCCGTTGACTTTTTCCACATTTTGTTATGTTACAGCCTTATTCTAAAATGGATTAAATTGTTATTTTAGCCCTCATCAATCTACACACAATACCCCATAATGACAAAGCAAAAACAGGTTTTTAGAAAAAACTGATATGACATTTACATAAGTATTCAGACACTTTACTTTGTTGAAGCACCTTTGGCAGCGATTACAGCCTCGAGTAATCTTGGGTATGACGGTACAAGCTTGGCACAGCTGTATTTGGGGAGTTTATCCCATTATTCTCTGCAGATCCTCTCAAGCTCTGTCAGGTTGGATAAGGAGCGTCGCTGCACAGTTATTTTTAGGTCTCTCCAGAGATGTTCGATCGGGTTCAAGTCCGGGCTCTGTATTTGTATTTTGTATTTATTATGGATCCCCATTAGCTGCTGCCAAGGTAGAATTAAGGCAGTTATACAATTTTAAAAACATAACAATACATTCATTACAGAATTCACAACACACTGAGTGGCTGGACCACTCAAGGACATTGAGACTTGTCCCGAAGCCACTCCTGCACTGTCTTGGCTGTGTGCTTAGGGTCATTGTCCTGTTGGAAGGTGAACCTTCACCCCAGTCTGAGGTCCTGAGCGCTCTGAAGCAGGTTTTCATCAAGGATCTCTCTGTACTTTGCTCTGTTCATCTTTCCCTCGATCCTGACTAGCCTCCTAGTCCCTGCTGCTGAAAAACATCCCCACAGCATGATGCTGCCACCACCATGCTTCACCGTAGGGATGGTGCCAGGTTTCCCTCCAGACGTGACGCTTGCAGTCAGGCCAAAGAGTCAATCTTGGTTTCATCGAGACCGAGAATCTGTTTCTCATGTCTAAATTCCTTTAGGTGCCTTTGGCAACCGCCATGCGGCTGTCAATGTGCCTTTTACTGAAAGTGGCTTCCTTCCTCTGGCACTACCATAAAGGCCTGATGTTGATGCTGCAGAAGATGGTTGTCCTTTTTTCTGGCAGGTCTCCCATCTCCACAGAGGCACTCCGGAGCTCTGTCAGAGTGCATCCTGGTCTATGGTCGACTCCCTGGACCAGGCCATTCCCCTCGATGCTCGTTTGCCGGGCGGCCAATTCTAGGAGGAATTGGTGGTTCAAACTTCTTCTTTAAGAATGATGGCGCCACTGTGTTCTAGGGACCTTCAATGCTGCAGAAATGTTTTGGCACCCTTCCCCAGATCTGTGCCTCGACACAATCCTGTCTCGGAGCTCTACGGACAATTCCTTTCAACCTTATGGCTTTGTTTTTGGTCTGACATGCACTGTCAACTGTGGGACCTTATATAGACAGATGTGTGCCTTTCCAAATCATGTCCAATCAATTGAATTTTACCACAGGTGGACTTCAATCAAGTTGTAGAAACATCTAAAATCAAATCAAATTTGATTTGTCACATACACGTGTTTAGGAGATGTTATAGCGGGTGTAGCGAAAGGCTTGTGCTTCTAGCTCCGACAGTGCAGTAATATCTAACAAGTAATATCTAACAATTTCACAACATATACCTAAAACACACAAAACTAGTAAGGAATGGAATTTAAGAAAATAAACATATATGGACAAGCAATGACAGAGCGGCATGGACCAAGATACAGTAGAATAGAATGCAATATATACATATGAGATGAGTAGTGCAAGATATGTAAACATTATTAAAGTAACTGTAAACATTACTAAAGTGACTAGTGTTCCATTTCAGAAAGTGGCCAGTGATTTCAATAGGCAGCAGCAGCCTCTGATGTGCTAATGATGGCTATTTAACAGTCTGATGGCCTTGAGATAGAAGCTGTTTTTCATTCTCTCGGTCCCAGCTTTGATGCACCTGTACTGACCTCGCCTTCTGGATGATAGCGGGGCGAACAGGCAGAGGCTCGGGTGGTTGATGTCCTTGGTGATCTTTTTGGCCTTCCTGTGACATCGGGTGCTGTATGTGTCTTGAAGGGCGGGTAGTTTGCCCCCGATAATGCGTTTGGCAGACCGCACCACCCTCTGGAGAGCCCTGCGGTTGCGGGTGGTGCAGTTGCCGTACCAGGTGGTGATACAGCATGGACAGGATGCTCTCAATTGAACATCTGTAAAAGTTTGTGAGGGTTTTAGGTGCCAAGCCGAATTTCTTTAGCCTCCTGAGGTTGAAGAGGCTCTGTTGCGCCTTCTTCACCACAGCAGGCTGCTCCGAGTGCCTCTCCTCCGCCGGCGATGTTTTGGGTCAGCCGCTGGAATCAGTTCAGTTGCCCTGGGGAGAGCAAACAAAGGATCTGCTTCGGGAAAGTAGTATTCCTGGTCGTAATGCTGGTGAGTTACTGCAGCTCTGATATCCAATAGTTTTCCCCGGCTGTATGTAATGATACAAAACACTTTCTGAGTTAATAATGTAAAAAATAATACATAAAAAAACAAAATACTGCAAAGTTTCCTTAGAGCTAGTCGCGAGGCCGCCATCTTCGTCGGCGCCAGGTCTATGTTCGCCAGGTCATCTCAAGGATGATCAATGGAAACAGGATGCACCTGAGCTCAATTTCGAGTCTCATAGCAAAGGGTCTGAGTACTTATGTAAATAAGGTATCTCTGTTTTATTTTTTATACATTTGCAAAAATGACTAAACCTGTTTTTTGCTTTGTCATTATGGGGTATTGTCTGTAGATTGAGATTCTTTTATCCATTTTAGAATAAGGCTGTAACGTAACAAAATGTGGAAAAAGGGAAGAGGTCTGAATACTTTCCGAATGCACTGTAGGTGGGATTTGAGTTTGGACCCTACTGGTCTGTGGATGAGGAGGTGGTTTCGGTCATTGTGTAGGAAGAGGCCGATAAGGTGATGGTGAAGTGAGACCGTGGTGATGGTGTGATCCTGTGATCCATCCTGATCTACAACCTGCAACTCCTCTTCTGACTCCAGATCTTGAACCGGCAACTCCTCCTGATCTGGATCTTGACCCTGTGACTCACCCTTTGACTTTTCCCTGGCAGAGGGGAATTACAACAGGAGAGGTTGTGGTGTTATGCCTGCTCCTGTAAGCCTCTCTTCTAGCTGTTGAAGAGGGCCATGAGCTCTATGGTGGGGGAGGCTCAACCCTCTGCTGTTGCCCTGGGGCAGGTTCACCGTCAACCTTTTGGGGTGGGGGGTATTACAAAAAAAACATTTGAATTTGGCCTTACTGCTATTAGCCCATATAAATGCATTGAATAACAGATTCATACATGGAAAAACAGATAGTCCAAAACAAAATCAAAATTATTTTTTTGTTGAAGTTTCTGTCCTATATCTGAGAGATTTAAGAAGTATCAGGAAACTTTTTGTTGTTGTTGTTGACACATTTACATTTACATTTTAGTCATTTAGCAGACGCTCTTATCCAGAGCGACTTACAGGAGCAATTAGGGTTAAGTGCCTTGCTCAAGGGCACATCGACAGATTTTTCACCTAGTCGACTTGGGGATTAGAACCAGCAACCTTTCGGTTACTGGCACAACGCTCTTAACCACTAAGCCACCTATTTTTTTAGGCACTGAACTACTTCCATATATACTTTCAGTCATGTTTTTTTAACTGGTACCTTCAGGCGACGCTTGTGGGCATCCTAGAGCAAAACGTACGTGTTTGTGAGATTATCACCTTTCCATTGAGGGGTCATAATAGTTTGTAGGCCAAACCATTCAGACGCTCAGTTATGAGTAATAAAGTTTTCGGATTACATCTCTTATATGTAGTCTCGTCACGCAAGGGAAGGCTTAGGAGCGAGCCTAACCGATTTCAGTATAGAGACGATTACCATACCCGAATTATTTATGAGTTGATTAAAAAATTAATTGGGGGGGGGGTTAAGGAGGACGATATTCATTATCATTCAATTTGGATGACAACATTTCCCAGAGGCATTAATGCATACATTTTAATATCAAAAATCTAAATCAAAATAAATGTGGTTTTGGCTAAATCAATCTTAACTACATAACATAATGGCAATCATTTTATTTGAATGGTAAATCTCTAGGTAAATTAAGATGGCATAGGCCTACTCACAATACAGGTGAATGCATATTCAGTAGGAGTGTGTGCATACACTGAATTATTGAGCTTGTTTTGGCTGATCAGTGGAGTCTATGGTGCTACAGATGACAAACAACCTGTTTGCCTAGTATTTGGGACTTATTAGCCTACTGATCAACAACATTTGCATAAAGACATTACTCCAGCATGTATTTATTTGTATTTATTATGGATCCAAGGCAGCAGCTACTCTTCCTGGGGTCCATCAAAAAATTTTAAAACATAGAAATTCACAACAGATTTCATAACACATTAAGTGTGTGCCTTCAGGCCATTACTCTACTACCACATATCAACAACACAAAATCCATGTGTACGTGTGTATAGTGTGTATGTTATCGTGTGTGTGTGTGTATGCATGTGTCTGTGACTATGTTTGTCTCTTCACATTCCCCGCTGTCCCATAAGGTGTGTTCTATCTGTTTTTTAAATCTGATTTTACTGCTTGCATGAGTTACTTGATGTGGAATAGAGTTCCATGTAGTCATGGCTCTATGTAGTACTGTCCGCCTCCCATAGTTTGTCCTGGACTTGGGGACTGTGAAGAGACCTCTGGTGGCATGTCTTGTGGGGTATGCATGGGTGTCCAAGCTCTGTGCTAGTAGTTTAAACAGACAGCTCGGGGCATTCAATCAATCAAATGTATTTATAGAGCCGTTTTACGTCAGCAGATGTCACAAAGTGCTATACAGAAACCCAGCCTAAAACCCCAAACAGCAATTAATGCAGATGTAGAAGCACGGTGGCTAGGAAAAACTCCCAAGAAAGAGGAACCAGGCTCTGAGGGGTGGCCAGTCCTCTTTTGGCTGTGCCGGCTGGAGATTATAAGAGTACATGGCCATTAAGGCCAGATTGATCTTCAAGATGTTCAAAAGTTCATAGATGACCAGCAGGGTCAAATAATAATCAGTGGTTGTAGAGGGTGCAACAGGTCAGTACCTCAGGAGTAAATGTCAGTTGGCTTTTCATAGCCGAGCATTCAGAGGTCGAGACAGCAGGTGCGGTAGAGAGAGAGTCGAAAATAGCAGGTCCGGGACAAGGTAGCACGTCCGGTGAACAAGTCAGGGTTCCCTAGCCGCAGGCAGAACAGTTGAAACTGGAGCAGCAGCACGGGCAGGTGGACTGGGGACAGCCAGGAGTCGTCAGGCCAGGTAGTCCTGAGGCATGATCCTAGGGCTCAGGTCCTCCGGGAGGGGAGAGAGAGAGATAATTAAAGGGAGCATACTTAAATTCACACAGGACACCAGATAAGACAGGAGAATTACACCAGATATAACAGACTGACCCTAGCCCCCTGGCACATAGGCTATTGCAGCATAGATACTTGAGACGGGTGTGTCGGGGGACACTGTGGTCCTGTCCGACGATACCCCCTGACAAGGCCAACCAGGCAGGATATAACCCCACCCACTTTGCCAAAGCATAGCCCCCACACCACTAGAAGGATATCAACAGACCACCAACTTACTACCCTGAGACAAGGCTGAGTATAGCCCACAAAGATCTCCTCCACCGCACGAGCTCGAGGGGGCGCAAAACCGGACAGGAAGATCACGTTAGTGACTCAACCCACTCAAGTGACGCACCCCTCCTAGGGACGGCATGTAAGAACCCTAATAAGCCAGTGACTCAGCCCCTGTAATAGGGTTAGAGGCAGAGAATCCCAGTGGAGAGAGGGGAGCCGGCCAGGCAGAGACCGCAAGGGCGGTTTGTCGCTCCAGTGCATTTCCTTCACCTTCGCACCTCTTGGCCAGACTACACTCAATCATAGGACCTACTGAAGAGATGAGTCTTCAGTAATGACTTAAAGATCGAGACCGAGTCGGTGTCTCTCATATGGATAGGCAGACCATTCCATAAAAATTGAGCTCTATAGGAGAAAGCCCTGCCTTCAGCTGTTTGCTTAGACATTCTAGGGACAATAAGGAGGCCTTTGTCTCGTGAACGTAGCGCACGTGTAGGTATGTACGGCAGGACCAAATCGGAGAGATAGGTAGGAGCAAGCCCGTGTAATGCTTTGTAGGTTAGCAGTAAAACCTTGAAATTAGCCCTAGCCTTAAAAGGAAGCCAATATAGAGAGGCTAGCACTGGAGTAATATGATCAATTTTTTTGGTTCTAGTCAGGATTCTAGCAGCCGTGTTTAGCACTAACTGAAGTTTTATTTAGTTCTCTATCCATCATTTTTGGACAAAAAGTTTCTGATTTTTGCAATGTTAGGAAGGTGGAAAAAAGCTGTCCTTTAAATATTCTTGATATGTTCGTCAAAAGAGAGATCAGGATCCAGAGTAACGCCGAGATCCTTCAGTTTTTTTTTAGACGACTGTACAACCATCAAGATTAATTGTCAGATCCAACAGCAGATCTCTTTGTTTCTTGGGACCTAGAACTAGCATCGCTGTTTTGTCAGAGTTTAAAAGTTTACAAAATTCCGCCATCCACTTCCATATGTCTGAAACACAGGCTTCCAGGGTAGGGCTTCACCATGTTTCATTGAAATGTACAGCTGTGTGTCGTCCGCATAGCAGTGAAAGTTAACATTGTGTTTCCGAATGACATCACCAAGAGGTAGAATATATAGTGAAAACAATAGTGGTCCTAAACAGAACCTTGAGGAACACCAAAATGTACAATTGATTTGTCAGAGGACAAACCATCCACAGAGACAAACTGATATCTTTCCGACAAATAAGATCTAAACCAGGCAAGAACTTCTCTGTGTAGACCAATTAGGGTTTCTAATCTCTCCAAAAGAATGTGCTGATCGATGGTGTCAATAGCAGCACTAAGGTCTAGGAGCACGAGGACAGATGCAGAGCCTTGGTCTGACGCCATTAAAAGGTCATTTACCACCTTCACGAGTGCAGTCTCAGTGCTATGATGGGGTCTAAAACCAGACTGAAGCGTTTTGTATACATGATTTGTCTTCAGGAAGGCAGTGAGTTGCTGCGCAACAGCTTTTTCTAAACTTTTTGAGAGGAATTGGAGATTCGATATAGGCTGATTCGTTTTGGTTTGGATTTTTCAAGAGAGGGTTTATTATTGCCACTTTTAGTGAGTTTGGTACACATCCGGTGGACAGGGAGCCATTTATTATGCTCAACATAGGAGGTACAAGCACAGGAAGTAGCTCTTTCAGTAGTTTAGTTGGAAAAGGGTCCAGTATGCAGCTTGAGGGTTTAGAGGCCATGGCTATTTTCATGAATGTGTCAAGAGATATAGGATTAAAAAACTTGAGTGTCTCCATTGATCCTAGGTCCTGGCAGTTCTGTGCAGACTCAGGACAACTGAGCTTTGGAGAAATATGCAGATTCAAAGAGGAGTCTGTAATTTGCTTTCTATTGATCATGATCTTTTCATCAAAGAAGTTAATGAATTTATCACTGCTGAAGTGAAAGCTATCCTCTCTTGTTGAATGCTGCGTTTTAGTTAGCTTTGCGACAGCATCAAAAAGAAATGTTGGATTGTTCTTATTCTCCTCAATTAGGTTGGAAAAATAGGATGATCGAGCAGCAGTGAGGGCTCTTCGATATTGCACAGTACTGTCTTTCCAAGCTAGTCGGAAGATTTCCAGTGTGGTGGAGCGCCATTCCGTTCCAATTTTCTGGAAGCTTGCTTCAGGGCTCGGGTATTTTCTGTATACCAGGGAGTACATTTCTTGTGACAAATGATTTTTGTTTTTAGGGGTGCGACTGCATCTAGGGTATTACGCAAGGTTACATTAAAATTCTCAGTTAGGTGGGTAACCAATTTTTGTACTCCGACGTCCTTGGGTAGGTGGAAGGAGTCCGGAAGGGCATCTTGGAATCTTTGGGTTGTCAGAGAATTTATAGCACGGCTTTTGATGATCCTTGGTTGGTCTGAGCAGATTATTTGTTGCGATTGCAAACGTAATAAGATGGTGGTCCTATAGTCTAGGATTATGAGGAAAAACATTTAGATCCACTATATTTATTCCATGGGACAAAACTAGATCCAGGGTATGACTGTGGCAATGAGTAGGTACGGAGACATGTTGGACAAAACCCACTGAGTCGATGATGGCTCCGAAAGCCTTTTTGAGTGGGTCTGTGGACATTTTCACGTGAATATTAAAGTCACCATGAATTTGAATATTATCTGCCATGACTACAAGGTCCGATAGGAATTCAGAGAACTCAGTGAGGAACGCTGTATACGGCCCAGGAGGCCTGTAAACAGTAGCTATATAAAGTTATTGAGTAGGCTGCATAGATTTCATGACTAGAAGCTCAAAAGACGAAAACTGAGTCTATTTTTTGGTAAATTGAAATTTGCTGTCAAGAATGTTCACAACACCTCCACCTTTGCGGGATGCGCGGGGGATATGGTCACTAGTTTAACCAGGAGGAGAGGCATCATTTAACACAGTAAATTCATCAAGCCAATCACATCCAGATTATGATCTGTGATTAGTTCATTGACTATGACTGCCTTGGAAGTGAGGGATCTAACATTAAGTAACCACATTTTGAGATGTGAGATCACAATATCTTTCAATAATGACAGGAATGGAGGAGGTCTTTATTCCAGTGAGATTGCGAAGGCGAACACCGCCATGTTTTGTTTTGCTCAACCTAGATCGAGGCACAGACGCGGTCTCAATGGGGATAGCTGAGCTGACTACACTGACTGCGCTAGTGGCAGACACCACTAAGCTGACAGGCAGGCTAACAGCCTGCTGCCTGGCCTGCACCCTATCTCATTGTGGAGCTAGAGTAGTTAGAGCCCTGTCTATAAGATGAGAGCACCCCTCCAGCGAGGATGGAGTCCGTCACTCCTCAGCAGGCCAGGCTTGGTCCTGTTTGTGGGTGAGTCCCAGAAAGAGGGCCAATTATCTACACATTCTATATAACTGGGAGGGGTCCAGTGACAATTACTTGATGCCGACACATCTTTCTAGCTGATTTACACGCTGAAGCTATGTTGCTCTTGGTGACCTCCGACTGTTTCATCCTAACATCTTTGGTGCCGACGTGGATAACAATATCCTTATACTCTCTACACTCGCCAGTGTTATCCTTAGCCAGCACCATCTTCAGATTAGCTTTTACGTTGGTAACCCTGCCCCCTGGTAAACAGTGTATGATCGCTGGATGATTATTGCGGGTAATGTTACACCACTAGTCAGATGGTCCATTGCCGAAAATGGTGCATGTTCAAAATGATAACCAGCTAACGTTAGCTAGCTACGTTGGCAATTAGCTCCTATCTGATATCTTAGCACCATGTTTATCTAACCAGCTAGCTAGCATAGTAGCTAATATAGCTAGCTAGCTAACACCACAGATAAAAGGTTTAGTAATCGTAATCTTTGCTTGTCACAGACCTGCTTTTTTCAACTCTGTCTCTCTACCGCACCTGCTATTTCAACCTCTAAATGCCCGGCTATGAAAAGCCAAGTGACATTTACTCCTGATGTACTGACCTGTTGCAACCTCTACAACTACTGTGACTATTATTTGACCGTTCTGGTCATCTATGAACGTTTGAACATCTTGGAGAAAAACCTGGCCTTAATGGCCATATACTGTTATAATCTCCACCTGGCACAGCCGGAAGGGGACTGGCCACCCCTCAGAGACTGGTTCCTCTCTAGGTTTCTTCCTGGGTCTCTGCCTTTCTAGGTAGCTTTTCCTAGCCACTGTGCTTCTACATCACGTTGCTTGCTGTTTGGGGTTTTAGGCTGGGTTTCTGTAGAGCACTTTGTGACATCTGCTGATGTAAAAAGGGCTTTATAAATAAATTTGATTGATTGATTGAACAGGTCACATAGCTATCTGCTTAGCTAGCTTGCTTATTGCATGCATGTCCAGGCACGTCGACACGAGCCTTATTATTAGTGAATTAACTAAACAAATATTTGCAACAGGAGTTCGATTTAGGTCACTGTGTCAATTCATCCATTTCTCAATACTGACCCTTTCTGTTGGAGAATGAGCTAGCTTGCTGCTGCTGATGAAGATTTTGTGCAGTACTCGTGGCTCAGGGGGTGAGTGGCGGCTGGCATAGCAGCTTCTTTGCTATGTAGAGGGACTATCGTCAAAGCCGATCGACTAGAAAAGGCCAATAATCGGTCGTTCTCTATTCCAAATATCGCTAACGGTCCCCACAGAGTGAGGATTCTTATGCGCGTGATAGAATTCGCTCACTGTTCCAAAATGTGATTGTTACGTAACAGGACAGTTAACCCGCGCTTCCCTCAAACCAAGGCACGCTGCCTGCTAATTATCTATAGGCTATGTTTTAACTTGTACATTTTACATGATATTCTAACAACAGTTTGAAATGAGGTGCGTTCTGCCTCATTAATTCATATAGAAGTAGCCCATTTCATTATGGCAGACAACTTATGTTTGAGGCATGCTAATGTAAGGCGAAGATTAGCTAGATGAGCCGGACAAACTTCTCTCTTTGATGAGAGCCCAATGGCCCAAGCACTCCACCAGTGTTTCCTCAGGTCAAGTATGCAGACATTTGCGCATCTCCAGTCAGAACAGAACCTGCCCAAACTTTTTCCCCCTGGCGCCCGCATTGCCTTCATTGTTGTTTTCCTTACTAGTAATTTCTGTGTGCGTTCGTATCAAAGTAAGTGCATTATTACCGTAATAGAATTTCTATATATCGTGTTATGTCATTTCTACTGTAGCACACCGTATTTATGTATGGAGCGTAATGTATTCTGTGTGTATTCCTTTATAACCGCGGACACGTGAGGTACAGCTTTCATAACCTCTATGGTGTTATACTCAATTGTGCTTATGTAGTTAAATTTTTCTATTATTTCTGTAAAACAATGTTAACGCTAATGGCGTCAAATAAGTAGCTTGTGTTGTATCCTGAAGCTGCCCAGGCTGGCCTTATCATGACCATTGCATTGGCCTGTATAGTTCTGCCCTGCCCCCTTGTGGCTCCCTTGTGGAGCTCTTCAATGATTATGTTACTTGTAATATTGTTTTATTGCTATATCCTGATAATGTATTCTAATTGCTAATAATTCCTCTTCATTCTGTACTTTCAGAAACCACACACACACAGTATTGAACATAACTTGCATTGGACATATTTTGTGCTGAAGATTGAGGACAGCTTTTGTATGCTAGCAACATACTGTTTGGAGTAGGGAGGATGAGGGATTAGAGAGGATGATGAGGGAGTGGGGAAGTGGATGAGATATTGTCAATATAATTGCGTAATGGAACTGTATTTAATTTATGTGAACTGTCTGTCCAATTACAAAAAAGGGGGCTTTGCACTCCAGACTCGGACTCATCAAAGCCAACAGCAGGGCCAGGAGGGATGAAATGGCTGGAAGCCTTCCAGCTACCGCAGACCTACTGTACTTCACCGACTGTTGATCTGCCTACATCACCACCAGCATCTTCAGAGGGACCTGGGACTTCATCGGTGGGCAAGGGGTCCTCAGATTAAGGGTTCTCAATGGCCACAAGCTTGGGGGGCAGCTCCTCACTGTCACTGTCATAATCTCCCGAATTTCTGCATTTTAGAGTTGTCTCCTTTTGAAAGACCTTGCTAATGCTACAGCTTAGCCAACTAGCTACATACAAACAACAACACTGAATGTCTCTAAGTGAGTGTCGGGTGACATGATTGTCTGCTGGTGTGGAGATTAGGTCTGTCCCCGACATATATTTATTTTTTTAGATTTGTCTAAATTTTACAACATATATTTTTCCATATATAGACGCACTCTATATTTGAATAAAATCAACTATATGTAGGCTACTGAGCTGGTCTGATTCTTTAAGCACTGCGATTAACAATTAAGACACACAAATTACTAAAGAGGGAGCCAGAGATCAATATAGCCTAACCAGAAGAAAAATACCTGTTCCTGAACCCCCCACTCTGACAATGAGAATGGTAAGACTGTAATAATAATAAATTATATTGAATGCATTAACAGAAATTAACCTAACCAAACTTAGAAATTATGGGAATTAATGGTAAATGTACTACTTGTGTGCCACCCCCGCAGGGATCTTTTATTTCAGCTCATGAAACATGGGATCAACACTTTACATGTTGCGTTTACCGAGTCGATGAGTGTGTATGGGGACTGGACATCACTGAGTGCAGAGTAGAGGGGCAAGCACAGACGAACGGTGTAGTCCATCCCTGCCTCGAAACAATGGTCTGGGGAGCGCCAAATATCTGCGTAGACGGGAGAGAGGGTGGGATGTCACAAAACACTGCACTAAATCACACAAGAAAAGTGTGTGGAAATAAAACACAGGCATCTAATATGTATATCCTAATACAGGGTGTATACAGACTGAGTAGAGTCATATACACAAAACATATATTCTACACTTAACACACTTGCACATACAGACTCATTACTCACTCTCTCATGTGCAACAGACATACACAGAGAGAGAGACTAGGTGTGTGTTTACCATAATCCAGGGTGGAGGAATAACATCTGGTTGTCGTCATCATGTATGGTGTTGGCACAGAGGCTGTTGAGATCACACTGCGTAGCGGTAGTGTTGGTATCTTCTGGCAAGTTCGCACCCTGCCTCTCCCTCCTCTGCCACTCCCTCCCAGTCATTCTGGTCTTCCAAGTCCTCCTTCTCTACTAACCCTTAGTTGACTTAGCTAGCTAGCTACAATGCTCTTGGTTAAACCAAAGATAATGGTAACTTTTATGTGGTTAAAGTTATGTACTTAGCTTCCGAGCTAGCTGACACTAACCTAGCTTGCCTAATCAATAGAATCTGCTTTAATAACAGAAGACCAAATAACTACGTACTTCAATTTCAATATTGAAATCATAGTTGATTCGTTGGTTGGTTAGGTTCTCTACTGAAAAACTATAAAGCTTACCTTTTTATCATCGGCCATCGTCCCCACTTCACCACCATCACCTTGCCTTTCACCGTATAAATCTGATAACTAGATAACACAGCCACAAAGTCCAAATGTGCTGTATCGTAAAAATACGAGATTTTTTGTTGTTGCTTTTTAGTCTTAATTTAAGGTTCGGTTTAGGCATATAGCAGTTTGGTTAAGTTTCAAATTATATTTTAGGAAGATCAATTGTAGAAATGGGCAGGGTTTAGCCATATTTGTACTCGTCCTTCTCGCCAGCTGTGAGTTTGCCATGGTAAGATGTGACTGTTCCTTGTGCAAAAACAATGTCCTATCCCAGAGCTCGAGTAAATGACATTACTAAGCTGCTCCCGAATGTACTACGCCAGGACATGGACATCGATTCTATCGTAGTCCGTGTGGGTTTTAATGACATTATGAAGGGCAGCTCTGAACAGTTGAAACAGGATTTCAAAGAGCTGATTGACTCTCTGCTAGACACTAATAAAGACCCATCATATCTGGCCCTGTGCCTGCTCTGAAGCGTGGCATTGCACACTTTAGCAGGATTCTTTCTCTTCACAACTGGCTACGTGATTATTGCAGCTCGATGGGTGTAACTTTTGTTGACAATTTCGATACCTTTTGGAAACAAAACACATTTTATAAGTAGGATGGGATCCACCCAAATCATTTGAGTTCCTGGATCCTTTCACAGCATTATAAGGCTGCGTTGAAACAACAATTTATCAATGAACCAAGCCTAGCTCAGTTAATCCCTACCATTGTGTCGCTGAGTCATCATAATGCTTTAGCAAATGTACATTATACCAGGGGCATTGGTAGACTCAATGTAAGCAACCTAATTTATGTCCCTCTAACTGCCCTGAATGCCTCTGCGGATCCTACAGCTATTGTATGCAACAATCATGTGTCTATGAAACAGATTTATGTTGTTAGCACTGAGACGATGTGCCCTAGTAGGAAGTCCGCTGTGTGCAGCTCACCCTGCACTAACATAAATAACATGAGAATATCTACTTCTGTTAAGCTTCCCAGTAAAGCAATGAAAACAAACAAGCATCCCAGAAAAGTGCTCAAAATAGCCCACGTTAACATATGTAGCTTAAGAAACAATGTTCATGAAATCAGTATCTTGCTAGTAACAGATGACATTCATATTCTGCCTCTCTGAAACTCACTTAGACAATACATTTGATGATACAATGGTAGCGATACAAGGTTATAACATTTACAGAAAATACAGAAATGCCAGTGGTGGAGGTGTTGCTGTTTATATTCTGAACAACATTCCTGTAAAGATTAGAGAGGATCTCATGTTAAATACTATTAAGTAATATGGCTACAGGTTCATCTGCCTCACCTAAAGTCAATTCTTCTGGGAAGCCGCTATAGACCAAGTGCTAGTATCTGGATAACGTGTGAAATGCTTGAGAATGTATGTGATATCAACAGAGAGGTATATTTTCTGGGTGATTTTAAATATTGACTGGCTTTCATCAAGCTGCCCACTCAAAAAAAAGCTTCAAACTGTAACCAGTGCGTGCAACCTGGTTCAGGTCATCAGTCAACCTACCAGGGTAGTTACAAACAGTACAGGAATGAAATCATCAACATGTATTGATCACATCTTTACTAATGCTGCAGAAATGTGCTTGAAAGCAGTATCCAGATCCATCGGATGTAGTGGTCGCAATATAGTAGCGATATCTAGGAAAATCAATGTTCCAAAGGCTGGGGCCTAATATAGTGTATAAGAGGTCATACAATACGCTTTGAAGTGACTCTTATGTTGCTGATGTAAAGAATATTTGTTGGTCCGTGGTGTGTAATGAGGAGCAACCAGACGCTGCACTTGACACATTTATGACATTGCTTATTCCATTTACTAATAAGCATGCACCCATTAAGAAAATGACTGCAAAAACTTAAATCCCTGTGGATTGATGAGGAATTGAAAAATGGTTGAGCGGGATGAGGCAAAATGAATGGCAACTAAGTCTGGCTGCACAACCGATTGGCAAACGTACTGCAAATTGAGAAATAATGTGACTAAACTGAATAAAAATAAGAAGAAACTACACTATGAAACAAAGATAAATGACAAAGAATTATAGTAAAAAGCTTTGGAGAACCTTCAATGACATTTTGGGTAAAAAAGGCAAACTCGGCACCATCATTCATTTAATCAGATGGCTCATTCACTACAAAACCGACTGATATTGTCAAATACTTTCTTGATTTTTTTCATTGGCAAGATCAGCAAATTTAGGCATGACATGCCAGCAACAAACACTGACACTACACATCCAAGTACAGTACCAATCCAAAGTTTGGACACACCTACTCATTCCTGGGTTTTTGTTAATTTTTTACTATTTTCTACATTGTAGAATAATAGTGAAGACATCAAAACGATTAAATAACACATATGGAATCATGTAGTAACCAAAAAATTGTTAAACAAATCAAAATATATGTTATAGTGTCTTGATGACAGCTTTGCACACTCTTGGCATTCTCTCAACCAGCTTCATGAGGTAGTCACCTGGAATGCATTTCAATTAACAGGTTGCCTTGTTAAAAGTAAATTTGTGGAATTTCTTTCCTTAATACGTTTGAGCCAATGAGTTGTGTTGTGACAAGGTAGGGGTGGGTATACAGAGGATAGCCCTATTTGGTAAAAGTACAAGTCCATATTATGGCAAGAACAGCTCAAATAAGCAAAGAGAAATGACAGTCCATCATTACTTTAAGACATGAATGTCAGTCAATACGGAGCATTTCAAGAACTTTGAAAGTTTCTTCAAGTGCAGTCGCAAAAACCATCAAGTGCTGTGATGAAACTGGCTCTCATGAGGACCGCCACTGGAAAGGAAGACCCAGAGTTACCTCTGCTGCAGAGGATAGGTTCATTAGAGTTACCAGCCTCAGAAATTGCAGCCCACATAAATGCTTCACAGAGTTCAAGTAACAGACACATCTCAACGTCAACTGTTCAGAGGAGACTGCGTGAATTAGGCCTTCATGGGCAAATTGCTGCAAAGAAACCACTACTAAAGGACACCAATAATAAGATGAGACTTGCTTGGGCCAAGAAACACGAGCAATGGAAATTAGACCAGTGGAAATCTGTCCTTTTGGTCTGATGAGTTCAAATGTGAGGTTTTTGGTTCCAACCGCTGTGTCTTTGTGAGACGCAGAGTAAGTGAACGGATTATCTCCGCATGTGTGGTTCCCACCATGAAGCATAGAGGAGGAGGTGTGGGGGTGCTTTGCTGGTGAGACTGTCAGTGATTTATTTAGAATTCAAGGCACACTTAACCAGCATGGGTACCAATGCATTCTGCAGCGATATGCCATCCCATCTGGTTTGCGCTTAGTTGGACTATAATTTGTTTTTCAACAGGACAATGACCCAAAACACACAGGCTGTGTAAGGGCTATTTGACCAAGAAGGAGAGTGATGGATTGCTGCATCAGATGACCTGGCCTCCACAATCACCCGACCTGAACCCAATTGAGATGGTTTGGGATGAGTGGGACCACAGAGTGAAGGAAAATCAGCCAAGTGCTCAGCATATGTGGGAACTCCTTCAAGACTTTTGGAAAAGCATTCCTCATGAAGCTGGTTGAGAGAATGCCAAGAGTGTGCAAAGCTGTCATCAAGGCAAAGGGTGGCTACTTTGAAGAATCTTAAATATATTTTGATTTGTTTAACACTTTTTGGTTACTACATGATTCCATATGTGTTATTTCATAGTTTTGATGTCTTCAATATTATTCTACATAGTAGAAAATAGTAAAAATAAAGAAAAACCATTGAATGAGTAGGTGTGTCCAAACTGTTGACTGGTACTGTATATCTGACCAAATTATTAAAGACGAATTCTGTAAAGTGAGTGTGGAAGAGGTGAAAAAAGTATTATTATTATTATTATTATTATTATTGTCTATCAACAGTGACAAGCCACAGGGGTCTGACAACTTGGATGGAAAATTACTGAGGATAATAGCGGACGATATTGCCACTGCTATTTGCCATATCTCCAATTTAATCCTACTAGAACGTGTGTGCCCTCAGGCCTGGAGGGAAGCAAATTCATTCCGCTACCTAAGAATAGTAAAGCCCCCTTTACTGGCTCAAATAGCTGACCAATCAGCCTGTTACCAACCCTTAATAAAGTTTTGAAAAAAATGGTGTTTGACCAGATACAATGCTATTTTACAGTAAAGAAACTGACAACAGACTTTCAGCACGCTTATTGGGAAGGACATTCAACAAGCACAGCACTTACACAAATGACTGATGATTGGCTGAGAAATTGATGATAAAAAGATTGGGGGTCTGTTTTGTTAGACTTCAGTGCAGCTTTTGACATTATCGATCATAGTCGGCTGCTGGAAATACGAATGTGTTGTGGCTTTACACCCCCTGCTATATTGTGGATACGGAGTTACCTTCCTAACAGAACACAGAGGGTGTTCTTTAATGGAAGCCTCTCCAACATTATCCAGGTAGAATCAGGAATTCCCCTGGGCAGCTGTCTAGGCCCCTTAGTTTTTTCAATCTTTACTAACGACATGCCACTGACTTTGAGTAAAGCCAGTGTGTCTATGTGTGCGGATGACTCAGCACTATACACGTCAGCTACTACAGCAACTGAAATTATTGCAACACTTAACAAAGAGCTGCAATTAGTTTCAGAATGGGTGGCAAGGAATAAGTTAGTCCTAAATATTTCTAAAACTAAAAGCATTGTATTTGGGGGAAATCATTCACTATACCCTAAACCTCAACTAAATCTTGTAATAAATAATGTGAAAATTGAGCAAGTTGAAGTGACTAAACTGCTTGGAGTAACCCTGGATTGTAAACTGTCATGGTCAAAACATATTGATACAACAGTAGCTAAGATGAGGAGAACGGCTGGCCCTTGGATGTACACAAGAGAGCAAACATTAATAATATGCATGTCAATCTCTCCTGGCTCAAAGTAGAAGAGAGATGGACTTCATCACTACTTGTATTTGTGAGAGGTATTGACATGTTGAAAGCACCGAGCTGTCTGTTTAAATGACTAGCACACAGCTCAGACACCCATGCATACCCCACAGAGGTCTCTTCACAGTCCCCAAGTCCAGAACAGACTATGGGAGGTGCACAGTACTACATAGAGCCTTGACTACATGGAACTCTATTCCACATCAGGTAACTGATGCAAGCAGTAGAATCAGATTTTAAAAAACAGATAAAAATACACCTTATGGAACAGCTGGGACTGTGAAGCAACACAAACATAGGCACAGACACATGCATACACACACATGATAACATACGCACTATTCACACGTACACATGGATCTTGTGTTGTAGACATGTGGTAGTGGAGTATGGGCCTGAGGGCACACAGTTAGTGTGTTGTGAATTCTGTAATGAATGTATTGTAATGTTTAAAAAAATTGTATAACTGCCTTAATTCTGCCGGACCCCAGGAAGAGTAGCTGCTCCCTTGGCAGCAGCTAATGGGGATCCATAATAAATACAAATAATTATGACTTTGTGTTGTGTTAACTAGTGACAACCATGTTCATTGGCTAGAATGTTCACCTGTAATGAAATGATAGTAAAAGATTGCAGTTGTGAGAGCAACAATTTGAGAGCGCAGTAACTTCTGAGTCTTGACATGTATCTCTGCAAAACAAAAATCTGCTCTCAAATTTATATTTTGCGTGCAGCAATCATATTCTGCTAGCTTAAAGTTACACTTGCCACTCAAGTTGAATTTGCCCGCCCCCGCTGCCTGTGTACTCACGAGACCCATCCTTTGCTCGCTCGACCACATTCTCAGTGGAGATCGAAGGGATCTCCAGTTAGCCATCCCTGAGACCGGGTCTGGTATCTCGTACGTCTATAATATTTAAAAAAAGGGGTAGATCAACTTTAATATTGCAGATATTATTGTAACTTCAATCAATAATTGTCTGCATCACTTCCAATCCCCTATATATATATATATATATATTATATATATATATATATATATCTAGTATATATATATATATATTATATTATTTATTTATTTATTTATTGGTAGCAAAAAACCAACTACCAGTCAAAAGTTTGGACACGTACTCATTCAAGGATTTTTTACTATTTTTTACATTGTAGAATAATAGTGAAGACATCAAAATATGAAATAACACATATGGAATCATGTAGTAACCGAACAAGCTTTAAACAAATCCAAAACAATATTTTTAGCCACCCTTTGTGGCCTTGTATGACAGCTTGCGACACCTTGGCATTCTCCTCAACCAGCTTCATGATGTAGTCACCTGGAATGCATTTCAATTAACAGGTGTGCCTTCTTAAAAGTCAATTTGTGGAATTTCTTTCCTTAATGCGTTTGAGCCAATCAGTTGTGTTGCAAGAGGACAAATACATTAGAGTGTCTAGTTTGAGAAACAGATGCCTCACAGGTCCTCAACTGGCAGCTTCATTAAATAGTACCCGCAAAACACCAGTCTCAACGTCAACAGTGAAGAGGCGACTCCGGGATGCTGACCTTCTAGGCAGGGTTGCAAAGAAAAAGCCTTATCTCAGACTGGCCAATAAAAAATAAAAGATTAAGATGGGCTGTCTGAGATATGGCTTTTTCTTTCTCAGTTCTCAGTTGTGCACCGGGGCCTCCCACTCCTCTTTCTATTCTGGTTAGAGCCAGTTTGCGCTGTTCTTTGAAGGGAGTAGTACACAGCGTTGTATGAGATCTTCAGTTTCTTGGCAATGTCTCGCATGGAATAGCCTTCATTTCTCAGAACAAGAATAGACTGACAAGTTTCAGAAGAAAGTTCTTTGTTTCTGGCCATTTTGAGCTTGTAATCGAACCCACAATTGCTGATGCTCCAGATACTCAACTAGTCTCAAGAAGGCCAGTTTTATTGCTTCTTTAATCAGCACAACAGTTTTCAGCTGTGCTAACATAATTGCAAAAGGGTTTTCTAATGATCAGTTAGCCTTTTAAAATGATAAACTTGGATTAGCAAACACAACGTGCCATTGGAACACAGGACTGATGGTTGCTGATAATGGGCCTCTGTACGCCTATGTAGATATTCCATAAAAAATCTGCCATTTCCAGCTACAATAGCCATTTACAACATTAACAATGTCTACACTGTATTTCTGATCAATTTGATGTTATTTTAATGGACAGAAAATTTGCTTTTCTTTCAAAAACAAGGACATTTCTAAGTGACCCCAAACTTTTGAACGGATGTGTGTGTGTGTATGTATGTATGTATGTATGTATGTATGTGTGTGTGTGTGTGTGTGTATATATATATATATATATATATATATATATATATATATATATATCTATATATATATATATCTATATATCTATATATATATATATATATATATATTCCTTAAAAAATATATCTTTAAAAAATATATATTTTCCTTTATTACTTTCTAATCCTACCTCCCCTCCCCTAATTGGAGTAAACTAGTGAACAACAGCGCTTAGGCCTCTACTTCCAGCTTATACATACTATATACATTATGGACACAGTCAATTTTACAATAGTTATATTTTGTTTGTTTTTACTCCTGAACTTCCTCTACCCTCAACCTCTCCAATAATTTTCATGATGTCCATCCGGTTTGCTTCTATATGCCATATCTTTCAAACTGTGCACTTTCACAAAAGTTATTTATCTATAACCTATAAACGTATTATGGACACACATATTTTACATGAGTTGTCTTGTTGTTATTAGTCCCAACCTTCAGCTCCATTCAACCCCTCCCATCTATCTCTTAACACCGTCCATATTGGATTTCTATTTGCCATATATTTTTCAACTGTACTGTGATGTTTCACAAAAGTTTGAAACTTTCTATTCTCATTGTTTCTAAGATTGTAAATGAAAAGAATTTTTTTTGCCAAAAAATATATTTATATATTGTCCCTTACTATACTTTCGTAATCTAACTCCCTCCTAAATTAAGTAACGTGAAAGGCTGAGGCTCTTACTCCAGCTTATACAACTATATACATATGGGCCAGTCATTTTACAATCAGTATATTTGTTTGTTTTTCTCCTGACTCCTCACCTCACTCTCCCATAATTCAGATGTCCATCCGGTTGCTTCTATATGCCAATCTTAATGTGCACTTCACAAAGTTCATTATCAACCTATACGTATTGGACACCATATGGCACAGGATGGACACGACATGAGTGTCTTGTTGTAATTAGTCCAACCTTAGCTCATTCAACCCCTGTATCTCGTAACACCGTCCATATTGGATTTTTTGCCATATTTTTGCAACGTACTGGAGTTTAAAAGTTCTGTAAATTGAAAAGAAACATTTTTGCTAAAAGTATTATTATATTATTGATCGATTGACTATGACTTTTCGTATATCTATATGTTAACAATTAAGTAAGGTATGGCTGAAGTTTATGCAGCAGTGCTTTATAAACAACAATAGGGCCAGCCTACTTTCTGAATGCAGTGATGTGTACTGTACCTATCGCCCATAATAAAGCGTAGAGTGCTATTATAGACTGCGTTCAATGGCTTCAATACAGTGGCAGCTGCATTCCTATAGACAATATCCCCATAGTCTATAACCGGTATGAATGTTGACTGCATGATTTAGTCTTCTGCTATTTAATGAAAGGCATGACCTATTTCTATAAAATAAGCCCATTTCAATTCTTAATTTCTTGACTAACTCATCAACATTATTTTTGAAAGGATAGCTTTTTGTTAATCCAGATGCCCAGATATTTATTAGCGGGGGACACAATCAGTGAAGGCATAAATCAGATACATTTTTATGTGATTTGGAGAATAACATATACTTGGATTTACCGGCATTAAGTACCAATTTCATTCAACAAAGGCTTTCTGCAAAGCAATGTAGGCAGATTTGAAGCTCCAAAAGAGCCTGGTCAACAACGGCGGCAATAGCATACACAACAGTTTCATCTGCGTACAGGTGTATGTAAAAACAGAAAAGGTGTGCAGATAGACCAATAGTGTTTATATAAACATACAAATGTACAGGACCTAAAATCGGTCCCTTTCGGACACCTGACTTAACACCACCACAAAAACGCATTGTGTCCTGTCTGTCAAGATTTTCTGATCCATACTGATTGCAGACAATCTTTGAATCAATAGAGTGGTCAACAGTATCAAAAGCTTTTGATAAGTCAATGAACAGGGCAGCACAGGGCTAACGCCTATCCTTACTCTTTACCACATCATTTAACACCGAGGTTGGAACAAAGATGGTGCTATGACCCGGCCTGAAACCAGACTGGTGAACACTTACAACACGTCTCGTAGCTAGGAAGGATCTAAGCTGACAATTGATTAATGATTCAAAATATGTTGCTAGGCAGGTAGGGCGATAATTATTTAGGTCGGAGGGGTCACCACCTTTGTGGAGAGGGAGGACATGGGACGCCTTTCAAACCCTGGGGATAGTACCCGAGGTAATCGCCAGATAAAAAAATATGCCAATGACTCTGCAATCAGGGGAGTAGAAAGCTGCAGCAAGAAAGGATCAAGCAAATCAGCCCAGTGGATTATTTTTTTTTACCTCAATCTTAAGCAAGGCATCTAGCACATCACAAGTAGAAAGTTGTTGAAATGAAAACAAAGTTTCGCTAGAAGTTGACTGATCTTCCAACAAGCCAACTGGAAGCTGGGAGAGGGAAGAGCAGTCGACTGACTGACCAGGGTCAATTAAACCACCATTTCTTTCAAATAAAAAGCCTGCAGAGATAAAATGCTGACTTAAAGCATCACCCATCTCATTTTTCTCGATAAAGATGCCAGAGTCTGACCCAACTTGCTTAGTCAGGAAAGGAGAGGAATTTCCACGCTTCAGTGCATTAACTGTTTTCCCAAATTTAGACGGATCACTTTCTTAATTGAGCAAGTACATCCATTTCTCAATTGCCTGAAACATTGCAGCAGGGGGTTGGGAAATCCCCGCTACAAACAAATGCGTATAACCTAGAACCAAACACTCAAACATTTGAGGGATAGTGACACTTATAGATCATGATGCCATGAGTCGGTTTCACACATACAGCCACCCCTGCCTCCATTTCAATCTATCACACCAAAATATGTTGAAATCAGCTATTTCAATGTCCTTATCCATGATCGAACCCTTGAGCCAGGTCTCTGTGAGAACCAGAATATCAGGGCTCATATCATGCACCCAGACAACAAGAAGGTCCATCTTTGACATCAGGCTTCGCACGTTTACGTGCAACAGCCCAAGCCCTCTACGGGATTTGAAAACCGAGGGAGGCTCCATATTTGTGGAATTCACAATAGAGCTAATAGCACTTGTTGAGAACCACTAGCTGCTGGGTCGACAGAGGTATTCCTGGATTGACAGACATTCAGGGGAGTTACAGAAACATAAAGTAGGGTACTTTGCTGCACTTCTATGGGACATAACATGCTTTCCAAGTCCTCTGTTGCTAATTATGACATGGAGGACTGGAGCACTAACAGACCCGGACCATCAGTCTCTAAAACAATGTTGCTGGAATTCATCCTGGAACCCCTTCAGTTAGGGTGAATCCTGTCTCTTTTTCCCACTCTTGTCTTTATTAGGAAGTTCAGCTACAGGTGTTAACAGGCTAATGTAGTAGTGTTTCCACTGCTGTTGACATTAACACAACTATGAGGGGATGAGCAGGGGCAAGGCTGGAAGGTCTCGGTTCACAAACCCCTTTTGTTAGTTCACCTGGTACTGTAAGGCTAGACTTGATCATTGATACCAAAGGATTTAGTCTTGTACAGTACACCCCACCAGCGGAAGGGAAATGCATAACATAACGCAACTCAAAAGGGTCATATGTAAGCCCATTTTCAAATTGCCCCCATATATTTAAACCAATAAAATTGCCCCCATATAATTAAACCAATCAAATTGCCCCTGTATAATTAAACCAATCTGGGCCTTTCAGATCTTCGAGAGGGATCAAGTGGGGTTAGGCCATATATAAGAGCCATATATAGGCTATTCACTCACAACCATTTTAAAAAGGTACACACACACACACTGCCTAGGTTAAAAGCTGTGTGTCACTCTCTCACTCGCACACGCTAACACTCACAGGTACTCATAAAAGGTAAATTGGCCCTTCACCAGTGTTGAAGCTGTGTGAAGGTATGATGCAGTTATAATGTATTATAAGACTTGTCATGAGCATGCATGACCTCCCTTATCTTATTATTATCTCATATTAATGATCCTGACTACACAGTCATTTTGAATCAGTTGACATTTTGATACATAAGCATAATATATTATACACCTTATAATAAAGCATTATGAAGGCACGTAAATACTTATAAGTTACAGTGCATTCGGAAAGTGTTCAGACCCCTTTACTTTTTCCACATTTTGTTACGTTACAGCATTATTCTAAAATTGATTAAATAGTTTTTTTCCCCCTCATCAATCTACACACAATACTCCATAATGACAAAGCCAAAACAGGTTTTTAGAAATGTTTGCAAAAATAAAAACGGAAATATCATATTTACATAAATATTCGATCCTGACTAGTCTCCCAGTCCCTGCCGCTCAAAAACATCCCCACAGCATGATTCTGCCACCACCATGCTTCACCGTAGGGATGGTGCCAGGTTTCCTCCAGACGTGACGCTTGGCATTCAGGGCAAATAGATCAATCTTGGTTTCATCAGACCAGAGAATCTTGTTTCTTGTGTTCTGAGAGTCCTTTAGGTGCCTTTTGGCAAACTCCCAGTGAGCTGTCATGTGCCTTTTACTGAGGAGTGGCTTCCGTCTGGCCACTCTACCATAAAGGCCTGATTGGTGGAATGCTGCAGAGATGGTTGTCCTTCTGGAAGGTTCTCCCATCTCCACAGAGGAACTCTGGAGGTCTGTCAGAGTGACCATCGGGTTCTCACCTCCCTGACCAAGGCCCTTCTCTCCTGATTTCTCAGTTTGGCCGGGCGGCCAGCTCTAGGAAGAGTCTTGGTGGTTCCAAACTTCTTCCATTTAAGAATGATGGAGGCCACTGTGTTCTTGGGGACTTTCAGTGCTACAGACATTTTTTGGTACCCTTCCCCAGATCTGTGCCTCGACACAATCCTGTCTTTGAGCTCTACGCGCAATTCCTTCGACCTCATGGTGTGGTTTTTGCTCTGACATGCACTGTCAACTGTGGGACCTTTTATATAGACAGGTGTGTGCCTTTCCAAATCATGTCCAGTCAATTGAATTTACCACAGGTGGACTCCAATCAAGTTGTAGAAACATCTCAAGGATGATCAATGGAAATTGGATGCACCTGAGCTCAATTTCGTGTCTCATAGTAAAGGGTCTGTTTTTGCTTTGTCATTATGGATGGGGTATTGTGTGTAGATTTTAGAATAAGGCTGTAATGTAACAAAATGTGGAAAAAGTCAAGTGGTCTGAATACTTTCCGAATGCACCGTATAAAGCATTATACCTGCAGGCTTTAGGTAAAATGTTACCAAACATATTCATGTTGCCTTTCTACATGACCAATTCAGGAAACATAGTCTAAACAACGTTTGTTTTGAACTATCACTGCCACTCTTCGCCCCAACCAGGACTTGATAGAGCTCCACCTCACCTACTGCAACAACCTATCAGCGCACACCCTCAGGACTTTAACCAGATTCCGCCAGACCCTGGTCTCCCTCAGCCTGTTCGGCTGCAGCCGCATCTTCTATCGCAAGGGTGGCGCCCCACTGGCATGCGACGAGGAAGAGCGGCCGGCCTCCAGACAGGCACCGGACACAGACTTCAGCTTCCAGGGCTTCAACCGGCTGCGGCTGCTCAACCTCGGGGGTCTCCCCGAGGAGGTGGACGCCGAGGCTCTGCTCAAGCCCCTGCCGGCCCTCACCTCCCTAGACCTGTCCGGGGTGCCGCTGCCCAAGGCTGCCTTCCTGGCCCAGTGGAAGGGGAGGCTGGCCTCGCTAGTGCTCTACAACGTGGACCTCTCAGAGGAGCTCATCAACACGGTGGTGGAGCTGGGACACCTCAGGTGAGCTGGCAGGGGTGTGGGGAAGGGTTTAATCTTGATAACTGCCTCAAAACTGTTTCTTTTTCGGGCACCTTGGTTCTGGAATAACCATCAGAATTTGCTTGATTTAGAGAGTTCAAGTTGAGAAGTTGAGAGTTCAAGATATGCTGCAGGATACTGTGTGTGTCGTTGTTTGTTTTAAATCCTAGATCATGGCTTGGTGATAATTATAGATGTACGGTTTTGAGCAATAATGAATCGTCAAGAACTGTTCATCTTGATGATGAATTTATTATCTTGAACTCTCAGCTTCTCAAATTGAATTCTCAAAATCAAGCAAACATCACGCTTTGTGCAGTAGACTTTCTTCTTTCTATGTTCACCAGGCACCTGGATATCTCCCGAGAGCGCAGCTCTAAGTTCAAGATGACCCGTAAGATCCTGACGGCCATTGTGCAGGGCCTAGTCAACCTGGTGTCGCTGGACATCTCGGGTCACATCATGCTGGACAACTGCACAGTCCCACACTTCGAGGAGGCCATGGGACGTCCAAGGTGAGCTGCTTCTATGACATAAGCTTATAGATGACTCGCAAAGCATCTATATAGTGCTCTATGTTCATGTGGATTTCAGCATCATCCTTTGTCATGTAAATAGTAGGACTGGTTGATGTAATCTCTCTCTTTCTAAAAATAAGTGTACGTTTTCCATGTTATGGAAGTATGCCGGACTCATGTCTTCTTTCTCTCTTTTAGTATCGAGCCCTGCAAGAGCAGCATCTACCCTTTCCAGGAGCTAAAGAGGCCTCTGCAGTTTCTGGGGCTCTACAACACCACCCTTTGTAATGTGACGCATATTCCTGCGTACAAGGTAAAGTTAGACCAGTGTTCTCCAACTCAGGTCCTGGAGTACTTCTGGGTGTGCAGGTTTTTGCTCCAGCCCATTACTAACACCCCTAATTCAAATATTTTTCTAATCAAGGTCTTCGTTCAGGGCCATGATTAGCCAAATTAGCCGTGTTACTACAGGGCTGGAACAAATGTTAGAGGGTTGGACCAAAAACCTGGCTACACCAGGGTGGTATTCATTCGGCATCAAACGGAAGACAACTGACTGAAACAGGAAGCGACTACCTAAGATTGCCCAATAAGAAACATTTGTTTTCGCTTTCCATTGCAAAACATTTTGCTACGGTGTGCGCTAATGAATATCACCCTGGTGTATATGTATGTTTGTATGATCACAGGAGGCTGTTGAGGGGAGGACGGCTCATAATAATGGCTGGAATGGAATGGTAAAATATGGAAACCATGTATGTATGTATGTATGTATGTACACTCGCCTCCGTATGTATTTGGATAGTGAAGCTAAACTTTCAAATTTGGCCCTATAGAGTACCACAGAATGAGTCATAATACCCATAAAACCTAGCAGTCAAACAGGAAAATGGTTCCAATTGTTTTTCACCATTCATTTTTCCAATAAGGGATTGTAGAAACACTTAAAATAAGGGCTGTGTTTCGTGTAGGTGTGACGTTTTGATAACTGTGTAAATCGTTCTAGGACAAGGTGACTTTTAGCAATATATTCACCTGTATTTACCCCCCAAAATTGAAATGCTAATTAGCTGCTAATGTGGCTATCATAAAGAACTACAAATGCCATAATGATATGGACGAGACTGCCGAATCGAGGCAAAGGTAAGAATCTCTGGATTAACTATCTAATGTTAGCTAAATGTAGTAATGAATAAATTGGCTACATTTCTTTAAATTGACAATTCTGTGAACTGTCTTGTGCAAGTTTTAAATTGACACAATACCTGTTAGCAAAGGTGTCAGCTAGAGATGATGTGCAGGAGCTTGCAGGGATTTGTAGTTTTGCATGATGTCTACTTTGATGCTAATTAGCATTTTCGAATCTAAGAGTAAATAGAGCCGAATATATTGATAAAAGTCACCTTGTCCGAGAGAGATTTACATGGTTATCAAAATGTCAAGCCAGGGTAAGACTACACGAAACACAGCCCTTATTTTAAGTGTTTCTGAAATAGGTATAGTAAATAGGTCTATGGAGCAGGCAGCTACACTGTCAAACTAGAAAGTCTCAAAACACAATGATTGTGTAATGTACAGAATATCACCTTTTATTTGAGGGTGTTTTCATATACACTATATACAAAAGTATGTGGACACCCCTTCATATTAGAGGATTCGGCTAATTTAGCTACACACGTTGCTGACAGGTGTATAAAATCGAGCACACCGCCATGCAATCTCCATAGACAAACATTGGCAGTAGAAGGGCCTTACTGAAGAGCTCAGTGACTTTCAACGTGGCACCGTCATAAGATGCCACCTTACCAACAAGTTAGTTCGTCAAATTTCTGCCCTACTAGAGCTGCCCCGGTCAACTGTAAGTGCTGTTATTGTGAAGTGGAACGTCTAGGAGCAACAACAGCTCAGCCACGAAGTGGTAGGCCACACAAGCTCACAGAACGGAATCGGCGAGTGCTGAAACGCATAGCGCATAAAAATCGTCTGTCCTCGGTTGCAACACTCACTACCGAGTTCCAAACTGCCTCTGGAAGCAAAGTCAGCACCAGAACTGTTAGTTAGGAGCGTCATGAAATGGGTTTCCATGGCCAAGCAACCGCACACAAGCCTATGATCACTGTGCACAATGCCAATGCACAAAGCGAGGTTCATACAGAAATGGTTTGTCGAGATCGGTGTGGAGAACTTGACTGGCCTGCACAGAGCCCTGACCTCAACCCCATCGAACACCTTTGGGATGAATTGGAACGCCCACTGCGAGCCAGGCCTAATCGCCCAACATCAGTGCCCGACCTCACTAATGCTCTTGTGGATGAATGGAAACAAGTCCCTGCAGCAATGTTTGAACATCTAGTGGACAGCCTTCCCAGAAGAGTGGAGGCTGTTATAGCAGCAAAGGGGGGACCAACTCCATATTAATGCCCATGATTTTGGAATGAGATGTTCGATGAGCAGATGTCCACATACATTTGGTCATGTAGTGTATTTAGCAGATGTTATTGCTGGTGTAGCAAAATCAACAGTAACTCTTGAACTGTTCAAGCTAGAGACACCAAACCAACTTTCTCATGTTCAGGCTATCATAACTTCAAATTCTTAAACTTGTATCAACTATAACTATATAAATTTGCATAAAATAACCCACCAACAGTAAGTCTGGAACCGTTCAAGCTATGGCACCAAACAAACTTTCACATGTTCAGGCTATCCTATCAATCAATCGATCCCTCACAAGCTAGCATGCACACCACATTTTCTTCAGGAAAAATACTTATAGTTTTAACCATGTTTATATTTTGGGTTCTGATGGGGTAGGACAGTTGAACTAAGCTCATGAGGCATGCATAAGTTATATTCTTCAAGAACCAATCGGTGTATATCAAATTTTCAGTCCAAAAAATGGATGTAGCATTTGCTGATTGCCCCTTTTAATACATCATCTGTCTATCATGTCTGTGTTCAGGTCACAGGCTCTAAGAATGAAGACCAGGTCCTGAATGCCATAGAGGCCTACACAGAGTTCCGCCCGGAGCTGGCCCACCGAGCCATTAACCAGCTGTTTGATATCGCCAGGATACAGCACTGCAGCGAGCTACTTCGGGCACTGCAGGTTAGGGACCTTTTTGGTTTAAATTAAAGTAGGGTGTCTCAGCATTTCTCATCAAAGAAATGCTTCTTTAATGCTTTAGAAAGCGTAAGAGCCTGGACATTTGTTTACTTATCACACCTCTGTGGTCTTCTGCTTTATAAATGAAAGTTGCGCACTCTTTTATTATTTTGCAGTGAACTACAAAGAAGAATGGAGTGTGTGGCTTTCTTTTCTCTTTTCTCAGCACCTTAAGGGATTGCGTTCTTTATTCCAATAACCCCCCCCGTGCTATAACCCTTCTGTCTTGTCATGATCAACCAGCTGGTGATCGCTGCACTGAAGTGCCACAAGTACGACAAGAGCATTCAGGTGACGGGCAGCGCGGCCCTCTTCTACCTAACCAACACAGAGTACCGCAGCGACCAGAGTGTGCGGCTGCGCCGGCAGGTCATCCAGGTGGTGCTCAACGGCATGGAGCAGTACCAGGAGGTCACGGTAAGGTCACAGGGAGGGGTCCGGACCTGGGTTCAAATACATGTGTATTTGAGTATCTGTTATTTTAAATGCTTTTTCTGTGTATTTGAGTATTATTTTTTTTATACACAGCCCAAACAAGTACTTTTATTTGAGTATTTGAATGGTTATTTGTAAAAACCAAATAATCTGCCAAATTGTATCTGACAAAACCTGTTATTCTCTTTTTTTTTTACATGGTCAAATAACTCAAGCAGAGATTAAAAATAAATAATAGTAATTGGAAAAGAAACTAGAGGCCATGAGTAACTTCGTCAAAAAGAATGGCACTGATTGGCCTATAGGTGGCGCGGTTATAAGCAGTCTCACTTAAACCCTCATATCCATCACCTGTTTGACCTAGACACTTGAAACTTCGTATGTAGGTGTCTTTCATCATGCTGAACAAATTAAATGTACCTCTGGTATATCTCTTAACTTATGAACCATAGGGCCAAAAGACACCACATTTGGAATGTACAGTGTATTCAGACCCCTTGACTTTTTCCAGATTGTGTTATGTTACAGCCTTATTCTAAAATGTATTAAATTGTTTATTTTCCTCATCAATCTACTAACAATACCCCATAATGACAAAGCAAAAACAGGTTTTTAGAATTTAAAAAAGAAAACAGAGTTCTTTGTTGAAGCACCTTTGGCAGCGATTACAGCAATGAGTCTACTTGGGTATGCCGCTACAAGCTTGGCACACCTGTATTTGGGGAGTTTCTCCCATTCTTCTCTGCAGATCCTCTCATGCTCTGTCAGGTTGGATGGGGATCGATGCTGCACAGCTATTTTCAGGTCTCTCCAGAGATGTTAGATCGGGTTCAAGTCTGGGCTCTGGCTGGGCCACTCAAGGACATTCAGAGACTTGTCCCTTGTCTTGGCTGTGTGCTTCGGGTTGTTGTCCTGTTGGAAGGTGAACCTTTAACCCAGTCTGAGGTCCTGAGCGCTCTGGAGCAGCTTTTCTTCAAGGATCTCTCTGTACTTTGCTCCATTCATCTTTGCCTCGATCCTGACTAGTCTGCAAGTCCCTGCCACTGAAAAACATCCCCACAGCATGATATTGCCACCACCATGCTTCACCGTAGGGATGGTGCCAGGTTTCCTCCAGATGTGACGCTTGGCATTCAGGCCAAAGAGTTCAATCTTGGTTTCATCAGACCAGAGAATCTTGTTTCTCATGGTCTGAGAGTCCTTTAGGTGCCTTTTGGCAAACTCCCAGCGAGCTGTCATGTGCCTTTTACTGAGGAGTGGCTACCGTCTGGCCACTCTACCGTAAAGTCCTGATTGGTGGAATGCTGCAGAGATGGTTGTCCTTCTGGATGGTTTTCCCATCTCCACAGAGGAACTCTGGAGCTCTGTCAGAGTGACCATCAGGTTCTTGGTCACCTCCCTGACCAAGGCCCTTCTCCCCCGACTGCTCAGTTCGGCCGGGCGGCCATCTCTAGGAAGAATCTTGGTGGTTCCAAACTTCTTCCATTTAAGAATGATGGAGGCCACTGTGTTCTTGGGGACCTTAAATGCGTCAGACATTTTTTGTTACTCTTCCCCAGATCTGTGCCTCGACACAATCCTGTCTCTGAGCTCTACGCGCAATTCCTTGCACTGTCAATTGTGGGACCTTATATAGACAGGTGTGCGCCTTTCCAAATCATGTACAATCAATTGAATTTACCACAGGTGGACTCCAATCAAGTTGTAGAAACATCTCAAGGATGATCAATGGAAACAGGATGTACCTGAGCTCAATTTCGAGTCTCATAGCAAAGGGGCTGAATACTTATGTAAATAAGGTGTTTAATGCATTTGCAAAAATGTCTAAAAACCTGTTTTCGCTTTGTCGTTATGAGGTATTGTGTGTAGATTGCTGAGGACATTTTTTTATTTAATCAATTTTAGAATAAGGCTGTAACATAACAAAATGTGGAAAAAGTCAAGAGGTCTGAATAGTTTCCGAAGGCACTGTATACATTCTACAGACCCTACTGAGTTTTCCCTACAATACTTTTACTTCTGCACCCAGAATTGTTCTTGCTCTAAGCCATATACAGTGATTCGCTTCGGGGACATTTATTTGACCTTGGAACGTGTTTTAAAACCCACATTTAATGAAAATGTCACTTAAATATGAACAAATATGAATCATTGTTAATTTTTTGACAATTTTTCATTTCATGAATGGTTGACACTTTCTACTATTACGTGGGTGACTTTTATTTGAAACATTTCCATAATTCCATGACCCAGAAGTTATTTTTTAGTGTTGCTGACGAGACTCTGATCATGTGACGAGTTCGCAAATCAGCGAAAAACAAGTAAGTTAACCTTTATTTATTGTAATTTCAATTAGTTTGTAGTAGTTGAGTTAGATTACATACTGTAGCTTCCCCAATCGTTATTTCAAATAATTTCGGTGACTTTACAGCAATTGCTAGCTAGCTAGTAGGCTCAGCTAAATACAAATCCCCCTAGATACAGCTATGTCTCATAGTCACGTCATGAGATTTGTAAATGAAAGAGGAATGTAATAATACCTTGAATGCTTTTTCCCATTTAGAGTTTCTGGCTCAGCACATAAATGCCCTTATCCAGATGTTGTTACAAAGGCATTTCCTAACAGACCTGCTAACTTTCTTTGTTGTTACTTTAAGGTTTGAACCAACATGCAATACCTCCAGCCGGAAGAGAGGCAAGAACCATTCATCCGCCAGCTCAGAGACAAGCTACGCTATTTACAGTCCTGTGTAATGTTCAATGTAATTGCATTGCTGGACTTTTTTAAACTTCATGTATTTGTATTGTTAAACCATTTTACAAATAAAAGGAAATGTATGGTTTAAACATGTCTTTAGTGTTTATTTGTTTTAGCTGTTAGTGATAGTTCCCTAAATGTGAATACATTTGTGTTTACATCATTAAGCCTTTATGTAGGTGCTATGAATGACCAAAATGTCCTTGTTTTTTTTGTCCATTAAAATAACATCAAATTGATCAGACATACAGTGTAGACATTGTTAATGTTGGAAATGGCTATTGTAGCTGGAAATGGCTGATTTGTAATGGAATATCTACATAGGTGTACAGAGGCCCATTATCAGCAACAATCAGTCCTGTGTTCCAATGGCACGTTGTGTTTGCTAATCGAAGTTTATCATTTTAAAAGGTTAATTGATCATTAGAAAATCATTTTGCAATTATGTTAGCACAGCTGAAAACTGTTGTGCTGATTTAAAGAATCAATCAAATTGGCCTTCTTGAGACTAGTTGAGTATCTGGAGCATCAGCAATTGTGGGTTCGATTACAGGCTCAAAATGGCCAGAAACAAATAACTTTCTTCTGAAACTCGTCAGTCTATTCTTGTTCTGAGAAATGAAGGCTATTCTATGCGAGAAATTGCCAAGAAACAGAAGTATTTGACAACGCTGTGTAGTACTCCCTTCACAGAACAGCGCAAACTGGCTCTAACCAGAATAGAAAGAGGAGTGGGAGGCCCCGGTGCACAACTGAGCAAGAGGACAAATACATTAGATTCTAGTTTGAGAAACAGACGCCTCACAGGTCCTCAACTGGCAGCTTCATTAAATAGTACCCGCAAAACACCAGTCTCAACGTCAACAGTGAAGAGGTGACTCCAGGATGCTGACCTTCTAGGCAGAGTTGCAAAGAAAAAGCCATGTCTCAGACTGGCCAATAAAAATAAAATATTAAGATGGGCAAAAGAACACAGACACTGGACAGAGGAAGATTGTAAAAAAGTATTATGGACAGACGAATCGAAGTTTGAGGTGTTCGGATCACAAAGAATAACATTTGTGAGACGCAGACCAAATGAAAAGATGCTGGAGGATTGCTTGATGCCATCTGTCATGCATGGTGGAGGCAATGTGATGGTCTGGGGGTGCTTTGGTGGTGGTAAAGTGGGAGATTTGTACAGGGTGAAAGGGATCTTGAAGAAGGAAGGCTATCACTCCATTTTGCAAACGCCATGCCATACCCTGTGGACGGCGCTTGATTGGAGCCAATTTCCTCCTGACCCAAAGCACAGCTCCAAACTATGCAATAACTATTTAGGGAAGAAGCAGTCAGCTGGTATTCTGTCTATAATGGAGTGGCCAGCACAGTCACCGGATCTCAACCCTATTGAGCTGTTGTGGGAGCAGCTTGACCGTATGGTACGTAAGAAGTGCCCATCAAGCCAATCCAACTTGTGGGAGGTGCTTCAGGAAGCATGGGGGTGAAATCTCTTTAGATTACCTCAACAAATTGACAACTAGAATGCCAAAGGTCTGCAAGGCTGTAAATGCTGCAAATGGAGGATTCAATTATTTCAATTAAAAATCATTATTTCTAACCTTGTCAATGACTACATTTCCTATTCATTTTGCTATATTTCCTATTCAAACTCATTTCATGTATGTTTTCATGGAAAACAAGGACATTTCTAAGTGACCCCAAACTTTTGAACGGTAGTGTATGTGTTATAAATGACCAAAGGGGTCTGACTTTAAATTAAGTACAGCGTCATGCGATATAAAGTCTTTATGGATGTGTTATGAATGACTGAATGTGTCTCACTTCAAACTAAGTATTACAGGATGCTGCATAAAAGTGCCAATAAATAGGTTGTTAACGTTCTGCTGATTTATGAAGGTTCTCTCATGATCCACTGGTTACTGTAGGGTGTGAGAGGTATTTCAATGGGTTGATGGACCTGCAAAGCGCATGTGCGCGTGTGTGGTGTGTGTGTGTGTGTGTGTGTGTGTGTGTGTGTGCACGCCAAAGCCAAGATGATTTGGAGTAATCCAACCTGAGATTACCGCACCAGGTATTCAATCCTCTTCTGTTCCCATGCTGGCGACCAGGGCTTGATTACAACCTGTTACAATGGTGCCAACATTATGTGGCTGATCTTTCAGTGGGGGAGTGGGTGATTTGTGTTAAAGACAGCACATATAAGCCTGGGATATCAACCATTCCAAGTTGGCCTTAGTGGGAGTGACCATATAATTCTATAGGAGTGACCTTACTGAGGAAAGTATTTGCTAAACCCTGCCCATTTCCACAATTTATTTTCTTAAAATTTGATTTTAAACCTAACCCTAACTAATGAAGGCCAAGTTTGATGCTTAGGTTCACCAGACCTTCCGCGCATTTGGGCGGAAGTGTCTGGGAACAAGATTATGTGTAATGTGACTAACATTTTGAGCATTTGCCATCATTTAGAAGAACATGTTTATCATATTCGGCATAGTGGGTTATGTCACATTTGACATTGGTGATTATGTCACAGTTATGAAGCATGACATACGGTTTTAGATGCTTTGTTACACATTTATGTAGTGCTTACGAAGGCATTATAAAGGCTTTATGAAGCCTTTATAAGCTGAACGTCATTTAAAGCGGGATCAAACATTCAACTGCTTGTCTTTTCAAATAAAATATATCTGAATAATTACTTCGAATGTATGTGAAATTGAGATATTTGAAATAGTATCTGAACCCGGTCTGGAGGGGTCAACTGACCCATCACGCCAACCAACATGTCACCCTAGTAGTCTCGTCCCTTCTCAAGTTAAAGCGAAGTTAATTCCCTTCACAAATTTTAAAGGAATGGATTAGTATAAACTAGGGCTGAAGGAGTGTCCACCATATCCCTCAACTCAGCTCCCCCTTTCCCACCCTCCTCCCCAGGTCCAGAGGAACTGCTGCCTGACGCTGTGTAACTTCAGCATCCCTGAGGAGCTGGAGTTCCATTACGGCCGGGTCAACCTGCTGCTGCTGAAGATCCTGGAGCCGGCCCGGCAGGACGAGTCCATCCAACGCATCGCCGTGCACCTCTGCAACGCCCTGGTCTGCCAGGTGGACAACCACCACAAGGAAGCTGTTGGCAAGATGGGCTTCGTCAAGGTAGGGAAGACTGATATATCCATATACTTATACACAGATTCATAGATTCTCTCTCTCACACACAGTCCGCAGTAGGTCATTGATGCTTCGTGAAGTTGTCACGTATGATTTTCATGCTCACATTTTTTTTCTCAGACAATGTTGAATCTGATCCAGAAAAAGCTACAGGACAGGATGGTGAGTCTCATTTGGATTATTTCTTGTGAATCAAAAATCTAATTTTTGTACATCCCTACCATTCTACAAGTCTGAAATGACCTCGCAGAACCTGTAAAACTGGATTGAACCACACCACATTTGGATTGTGATGAGTCATAGCAACCGTTAAGGAAACATTGCGTGTTAAGCCAATTCAAGTATATTGTTTGGAATGGCATTGCCTGGCAGACTACCTAGAGGTCACTTTGGATCAAAACAAATGCAACCACATTTTTTTGCTCTTTCTACAGTGTGACCAGGTGATGGAGTTCTCCTGGAGTGCCCTGTGGAACATCACTGACGAGACGCCAGACAACTGTCAGATGTTCCTTAACTGCAAGGGCATGAGCCTCTTCCTGGACTGCCTGAAGGTTAGCACACCTCAGGGATTTGTTTAAATCTACAGCATAAACTCAATCTCTCATCTCTCTCTTTCTACACCTGAAGGGTTCTGTTCTGTCAGGGAATACTAGGTTTTGCCCCTCAAACAGTATTTTCCACTGAAGATTCTCGGTCTCATCATCCTGTGTGTTGCTTTTGTCTATCCTCTTTGTCCTCCACTGGCTCTCAGGAGTTTCCAGACAAGCAGGAGCTCCACCGTAACATGCTGGGGCTGCTGGGTAATGTGGCAGAAGTGAGGGCTCTGCGACCACAACTCCTCACCCCACAGTTCATCTCTGTCTTCAGGTAAGAGAAGGTCCTCTGTCTATATTAAATGGTTAAATGCGGTCTTGTCTGACCTTGCTGCAATCTTGGACCAGGGGCCGTATTTATCAAGCATCTCAGAGTAGGAGTGCTGATTTAGGATCAGTTTTGCCTTTTGGATCACAGTGAATAAGATTACATGGACAGGGGGCACCTGATCCTAGATCAGCACTTCTAATCTGAGACGCTTGATGCATACAGCCCCAGGTTCCACTTGCAATAGAGATTGCAATACTATGGACACTAACCTGGATATATAAAGCTGGATTCTGCTTTGCTACTGTGACTCTTCTCTGGTGACAGTAACCTGCTGGACAGCAAGGCGGATGGGATCGAGGTGTCCTATAACGCGTGCGGGGTGCTGTCCCACATCATGTTTGATGGGCCAGAGGCGTGGGCCATGGAAGAGCCACTGAGGGACACGGTCATGGACAAGATGATGGACGCTATCCAGAGCTGGGACGTCACCTCCCGCCGGAATATCAACTACAGGTAAACAGAGAGCTCAATAGAGATGGGTCTCTTGAGACGCAGCGGCGGCCGCTGAATGGCTGAATAACCAAGGTGGTTGGAGTTGTCAACAAAGCATGACAGAAATGTGATGCCAAGTTTTCGAGCTACCGGTAGTTTATTTGGGAAGATATATAAAGCGATCTTTGTATTTGAACAACAGCATAAATACACCTATTTCACTTTTGCATGTCAAAAACCGAATGACCACTGCTGCACATGCTGCCACAGTTTTGAACAGATTAGATTATACTATTTTACAACGAGCAGCCAGCTCACGAAAGAACGAATGCACCAGGATAGCTAGCTAACATAATGTCACAAAGCATGATGCGCTAGCCAGTTAACTTTCATTCTGAAATAACTTCAAATTTCCGAGTTAGTCAGATATTAGTTTAGAAAGTCTAGCTAGCTGCTTATCAAAGGTAGATCGCTAACTGTTTAATTTGACCAATAAATCAACCAAACTATTTCTCAATGTTTCTTTAGCTGGCTAATTCATTTGATCATGCTTTGTGATAACCCGGTTTTCTGCTGTTTTAGTCCACACAACATGTCGCCCTGTCACCTACAGTAGAACCTTATAAATAACATCAGGGGGACACAATAAAATTGGCTATGCTTTTTGTCATACCAGGTTCTAGCTAGTGTATCCCTCTGTCCTTGGACTCTTGTTGATCGGTTTATTTATTTACAAGTTACTTACAATTTGCTTTTTGCTTTAGCGTGATCTGTACCTGATAAAGCAGATCTAGTCTCACGTGCGGAAGTAAGTCGTCTAGCGCAAGAGACTCATTGGGAGGAAGAGACTAGCGCAGACTGAACGGACACACATTTGAGCGCCCCCGGACAGTCCATTTACTTTGTCCTGTAATAATTTCTGCTATGATATCCTGCGATTTCATTGGAGCAGTTTCCCCTCATAGCAAATAGCTGGCAAAACAATGGAAGCAATGTTCGCATGACCTATGCGCCCACGGAGGCGGAGCTGGCAGTCACTGAGGGGCAGAGTAGTACAGTGCATTCGGAAAGTATTCAGACCACTTCACTTTTTCCACCCTTTGCTATGAGACTCGAAATTTAGTTCAGGTGCATCCTGTTTCCATTGATCATCCTTGAGATGTTTCTACAACTTGATTGAAGTCCACCTGTGGTAAATGCATTTGATTGGACATGATTTGGAAAGGCACACACCTATCTATACAGTGCATTCAAAAAGTATTCAGACCCCTTGTTTCTCCCATTCTTCTCTGCAGATCCTTTCAAGCTCTGTCAGGTTGGATGGGGAGCGTCACTGCACAGCTATTTTCAGGTCTCTCCAGAGATGTTTGACCGGGTTCAAGTCCGGGCTCTGGCTGGGCCACTCCAGGACATTCAGAGACTTGTCCCGAATCCACTCCTGCATTGTCTTGGCTGTGTGCTTAGGGTAGTTGTCCTGTTGGAAGTTGAACCTTAGCCCCAGTCTGAGGCCCTGAGCTCTCCGGAGCAGCTTTTCATTAAGGATCTCTCTGTACTTTGCTCCGATCATCTTTCCCTCAATCCTGACTAGTCTGCCAGTCCCTGCCGCTGAAAAACATCCCCACAGCATGATGCTGCCACCACCATGCTTCACCATCCCCAGGTTTCCTCCAGACGTGACGCTTGGCAGTCAGGCCAAAGAGTTCAATCTTGGTTTCATCAGACCAGAGAATCTTGAATATTTTTGAAAAAGAAAAATGTACACGTTTACCACACTTATGAACATTTAAAACATAATCCATTAATTATAGAATATGTACAGTGCCTTCCGAAAGTATTCACACCCATTGACCTTTTCCACATTTTGTTGTGTTACAGCCTGAATTTTTAATGGATTAAATATAGATTTGTTGTCACTGGCCTACACACAATACCACATAATGCCAAAGTGGAATTATGTTTTTAGAGAATGTTACAAATGAATTACAAATGAAAAGCTGAAATGTCTTGAGTCACTAAGTATTCAACCCCTTTGATATGGCAAGGCTAAATAAGTTCAGGAGTAACAATTTGCTTAAGAAGTCACATAATTAGCTGCATGGACTCACTCTGTGTGCAATAATAATGAACATTATTTTTGAATGACTGCATCATCTCTGTACCCCACACATACAGTGCATTCGTAAAGTATTCAGACACCTTGACTTTTTCCACATTTTGTTACGTTACAGCCTTATTCTAAAATGGATTAAATAAAATATTTTCCTCATCAATCTACACAAAATATCCCATAATGACAAAGCGAAAACAGGTTTTTAGTTTTCTTTGTGGAAAGTTATAAAAAATATAAAAACCCTTTGCTATGAGACTCGAAATTGAGCTCAGGTCATCCTGTTTCCATTGATCATCCTTGAGAAGTTTCTACAACTTGATTGGAGTCCACCTGTGGTAAATTCAATTGATTGGACATGATTTGGTAAGGCACACAACTGTCTATCTAAGGTCCCACAGTTGACAGTGCATGTCAGAGCAAAAACCAAGCCATGAGGTCAAAGGAATTGTCCGTAGAGACAGGATTGTGTCAAGGCACAGATCTGGGGAAGGGTACCAAAAAATGTCTGCAGCATTGAAGGTCCCCAAGAACACAGTGGCCTCCATCATTCTTAAATGGAAGAAGTTTGGAACCACCAAGACTCTTCCTAGAGATGGCCGCCCGGCCAAACTGAGCAATCGGGGGAGAAGGGCCTTAGTCAGGGAGGTGACCAAGAACCCAATGGTCACTCTGACAGAGCTCCAGAATTCCTCTGTGGAGATGGGAGAATCTTCCAGAAGGACAACCATCTCTGCAGTACTCCACCAATCAGGCCTTTATGGTAGAGTAGCCAGACGGAAGCCCCTCCTCAGTAAGGTCCCTCAGTCAAGCAGTGAATTTCAAACACAGATTAAACCACAAAGACCAGGGAGGTTTTCCAATACCTTGCAAAGTAGGGCACCTACAGTATTGGTAGAAGCAGACATTCAATATCCCTTTGAGTATGGTGAATTTATTAATTACACTTTGGATGGTGTATCAATACACCCAGTCACTACAAAGATACAGGTGTCCTTCCTAACTCACTTGCCGGAAAGGAAGGAAACCTCTCAGGGAATTCACAATAAGTGAAAAATGTTTCAAAAGCAATTAACTTTTTGTCCTGAGTACAACGTGGCAAATCCAATACAACACATTACTGAGTACCACTCTCCATGTTTTTAAGCATAGTGGTGGCTGCATCATGTTATGGGTATGCATGTTATCGTTAAGGACTGGGGAGTTTTTCAAGATACAAAATAAACAGAATGGAGCTAAGCACAGGCAAAATCCTAGAGGAAAACCTGGTTCAGTGTGCTTTCCACCAGACATTGGGAGATCAATTCACCTTTCAGCAGGACAATAATCTAAAAGGCCAAATCTAAACTGGAGTTGCTTACCAAGAGACCGTGAATGTTCTTGACTGGCCGAGTTACAGTTTTGACTTAAATCTGCTTGAAAATCTATGGCAAGACTTAAAAATGGTTCTCTAGCAATGATCAACAATCAATTTGACAGAGCTTGATCATTTTGAAAATAATAATGGCCAAATGTTGCACAATCCAGGTGTGGAAAGCTCTAAAGGCGTCCGCATGCTTCCCAGCTTCGGTGATTGGTCCACAGTTGGGATTTTTCAGTAGTCTGTCATTCAACGAGAGACGACTCGTTTTCATGCAAATGTTTTCATTGAGAAATACTGCACCAAACATCTTAGTTAGATATCAAATTGTGTGACAAAGAGCTCGGCAAAACGTTAACATTTGACAGATTTCTTGAGTTATCTTAGATTAATTCTGACTATTTTGAGGAAGTGTATACTGGCTACAGCATTTCAAAATGGACAAACGGTACTATTGCCGCATTTTCTTGTTTTTCAAGCGAATATCTTTTAAGGAAGTACGCGAGCACACTCGTTCGGCTAGGCGCCAGCCGAACTGAAGCATGCTGATGCCTTTAGACTTACCCAGAAAGACTCACAGCTGTAATCACTGCCAAAGGTGCTTCTACAAAGTGTTGACTCAGGGGTGTGAATACTTATGTCAAATATATTTCTGTATTTCATTTTCTATAATTTTTCAAAATGTATAAAAACATGTTTTCACTTTGTCATTATGGGGTATTGTGTGTAGATGGGTGAGGAACAAATTATATTGAATCAATTTTGATTTTAGGCTGTAACACAAGAAAATTAGGAATAAGTCAAGGGTATGAATACCTTCTGAAGGTACTGTATGTATTTTTAATACAATAACTTTTTTGATCACAAGCTCAATAAAATGGCCGTATAGGCAAGCCGGCGCTGTTAAGGTTACAAATGTCACCCTGATTCCAACTACAAGATGTGTGAGTGCATTTCACTTTTCTGAATTATTTTTCTGAATTAACACTTACCTGGCTTTCTCCCTCCGTTTTTTCTGTTCAGATCCTTTGAACCCATCTTGCGCCTGCTGCCCCAGAGTATCGCCACAGTCAGTCAGCACTGGGCCACGTGGGCGCTCTTCAACCTGGTGTCGGTCTACCGTGAGTATTGATACGAAGACGGATCCCACTTCTGACACCGAGTAAGCAAGTTGCCAGGTAAACTTGCTTATTGGTGTCAGCGGTGGGATCAGTCTTTGCCTCACTGTATCAATTTGAGAGACCTCTGGCCTGGGGTCAGTTATTTCTTAATATTGTTATATTATTAATAAGTGTGGATTCACTTTTGGAGTATTCATTTTAAGAGAATACAGCCCAGTGCCCACACTTTGTCACTCATCAGGGAAATATGTCTGCTTTCGAGTAAAATGTATTTCTCACTTATTTTCTTCCTCTCCTCAGCGAGTAAGTACTGCCCTCTGCTGATAAAAGAAGGAGGGATTGTTCTCCTGGAGAAGGTGCTGGAGCTCCAGACATCACGTGAAGAGACCAAGGACATGGCGCGGTATGAGCTCACCTATTAACCCATCCAACCTTTTCAACTCCTCTTTACTGAGATGTTGTTGATAAATTTAGGGTCTCTTACATTGCATTTACTTTCATTTCAAGCAATGAGTTGAAATTTTGTTCATAATTTGAGGACTGCCATAATCGCCCCTAATTTATGTATTGACTTGAATTCTAATGGAATTGAGTCCAACCCTGGTGAATGAAATGAAAATGCTGAAGCCTCCCTCTCTCTGTTTCAGGAAGGTGATGGAGCAGTGTGAGAACTTCAAAGAAGACCCCATGGAAACGACGAGGTAGACAATGGCCAACAGAGGATGACGTCAGGGGAGCAGCACCACTAGACGAACAAAAAGGCTAAACTTCATAGGAAACCTTCTTCACTCTTCTCATCACAAGGGTCAATTGTGTGCATCGATTTACTGTAGAGCAGAGCAACTGTTCTTTGCCTCTCAGCCAGGCTTTCTGGACAGAACCTTGTTATGCGACACTATTAGGAAGTGAGATGTGGTGCACAGCGTTGGTGTGTGTGTGCGTGCGCGTATGTTATTTGTGTTGCCAATGATAAGCATCATTTGTATAATGTATTTGTTTTCTCTTATTGGTTTGTTTTGCTTTTTGGTGTGCGTCCTCGTTTGGGTTTGTGTGTGTAATGAGAGTGTGCATGTGTGTGGGGAAGGACGTATGTGCGTGTGTGTGTGTGTGTTATAATAAGGATCAAAACACCAGGGAGATGTTTGCCTCTGAAGAATAGGAAACAAAACTGGTTCTTATTGTATTTTTCCCACCTTAGTCTGTTATATTGGGTCTAGTGAGAGGCCCTCCGTTGTATAAGCTTAGTTTCCAACGTCGTCAAAAAGCTCCATTACGCCCATCATGTTCGTTCTCAGAATCCTCAGTTCTCTCAGCGATTTCTGATGCAGAAATGTAAAATGGATGATGCCATGAGGTGTGGACGGTCGATAGTTTTATCCCAACAGCACTGATCTGTGGACAGTTATTAAGCAGTGAAGTTGCCATGTCTGTGGAGGCCTCTCTATCCCACACTGATCGAGAGCGTAACCGTGGAGGAGTGTAGCCATGACAATGACCCCAGTAGAAGTCTTCCTAGATCCTGTGACATGGGGAAGGACTTTTTGTTTTTTGTTGCCATCTGTCCCATCTTTGTTTATGTCTGTCTGTTTTTATGATATATGATTATAAACACTCCTATGATTTAGTCTGTAAATCTAGGCTTGGTACCCCATTCTTTACATATATAACCCACAAAGAACCCGAATGATGAGAAACGAACCAGGAAGGACTATACTGTTAGGGTTTTTGGAATCTCAAGGAAAATCTGAAGGTGGATTTGAAAAATGTAAACATGATTTGAACTTTGTGTCTGTCATGTACGGTATATGGATACAATGTCCTCAACCATAAAGTCTTAGTGTCATATATTTAGATTTGACACATTTAGGAAAGCTTGTATCTAATTTCTGAACATTTAGTTGCCATGAAAGAAATCTTTAGCCTAGCATTTGCACATGATTTCAAATCAAATCAAATGTTATTTGTCACATGCGCCGAATACAACAGGTGTAGACCTTACAGTGAAATGCTTACTTACAAGCCCTTAACCAACAATGCAGTTTTAAGAAAGAATACCAAAAACAAAATCACACAAAAAAATACAATATAAAATAATACGAAATAAAGGTAACAAATAATTAAAGAGCAGCAGTAAAAATAGCAATAGCGAGGCCAAATTGCGGGGGCACCGGTTAGTCGAGTTAATTAAGGTAATATGTACATGTAGGTAGCGTTATTAAAGTGACTATGCATAGATAAGAGAGTAGCAGCAGTGTAAAAGAGGGGCGCAATGCAAATAGTCTGGGTAGCCATTTGATTAGATGTTCAGGAGTTATATGGCTTGGGGGTAGAAGCTGTTTAGAAACCTCTTGGACCTAGACTTGGCACTCCGGTACCGCTTGCCGTATAGTAGCAGAGAGAACAGTCTATGACTAGGGTGGCTGGAGTCTTTGACCATTTTTAGGGCCTTCCTCTGACACTGCCTGGTACAGTGAGGGGGAAAAGTATTTGATCCCCTGCTGATTTTGTACGTTTGCCCACTGACAAATAAATTATCAGTCTATAATTTTAATGGTAGGTTTATTTGAACAGTGAGAGACAGAATAACAACAACAAAATCCTGAAAAACGCATGTCAAAAATGTTATAAATTTATTTGCATTTTAATGAGGGAAATAAGTATTTGACCCCTCTGCAAAACATGACTTAGTACTTGGTGGCAAAACCCTTGTTGGCAATCACAGAGGTCAGACGTTTCTTGTAGTTGGCCACCAGGTTTGCACACATTTCAGGAGGGATTTTCTCCCACTCCTCTTTGCAGATCTTCTCCAAGTCATTAAGGTTTCGAGGCTGACGTTTGGCAACTCTAACCTTCAGCTCCCTCCACAGATTTTCTACGGGATTAAGTTCTGGAGACTGGCTAGGCCACTCCAGGACCTTAATGTGCTTCTTCTTGAGCCACTCCTTTGTTGCCTTGGCCGTGTGTTTTGGGTCATTGTCATGCTGGAATACCCATCCACGACCCATTTTCAATGCCCTGGCTGAGGGAAGGAGGTTCTCACCCAAGATTTGACAGTACATGGCCCCGTCCATCGTCCCTTTGATGTGGTGAAGTTGTCCTGTCCCCTTAGCAGAAAAACACCCCCAAAGCATTATGTTTTCACCTCCATGTTTGAAGGTGGCGATGGTGTTCTTGTGGTCATAGGCAGCATTCCTCCTCCTCCAAACATGGCGAGTTGAGTTGATGCCAAAGAGCTCAATTTTGGTCTCATCTGACCACAACACTTTCACCCAGTTCTCCTCTGAATCATTCAGATGTTCATTGGCAAACTTCAGACGGGCATGTATATTTGCTTTTTTGAGCAGGGGGACCTTGCGGGCGCTGCAGGATTTCAGTCCTTCACGGCGTAGTGTGTTACCAATTGTTTTCTTGGTGACTATGGTCCCAGCTGCCTTGAGATCATTGACAAGATCCTCCCGTGTAGTTCTGGGCTGATTCCTCACCGTTTTCATGATCATTGCAACTCCACGAGGTGAGATCTTGCATGGAGCCCCAGGCCGAGGGAGATTGACAGTTATTTTGTGTTTCTTCCATTTGCGAATAATCACACCAACTGTTGTCACCTTCTCACCAAGCTGCTTGGCGATGGTCTTGTAGCCCATTCCAGCCTTGTGTAGGTCTACAATCTTGTCCCTGACATTCTTGGAGAGCTCTTTGGTCTTGGCCATGGTGGAGAGTTTGGAATCTGATTGATTGATTGCCCTTTAAGAGTGTGCTCCTAATCTCAGCTCGTTACCTATATAAAAGACACCTGGGAGCCAGAAATCTTTCTGATTGAGAGGGGGTCAAATACTTATTTCCCTCATTAAAATGCAAATTAATTTATAACATTTAAACATGCGTTTTTCTGGATATTTTTGTTGTTATTCTGTATCTCACGGTTCAAATAAACCTACCATTAAAATTATAGACTGATCATTTCTTTGTCAGTTGGCAAACGTACAAAATCAGCAGGGGATCAAATACTTTTTTCCCTCACTGTATAGAGGTCCTGGATGGCAGGAAGCTTGGCCCCAGTGACGTACTGGGCCGTACGCACTACCCTCTGTAGTGCCTTGCGTTCGGAGGCCGAGCAGTTGCCATACCAGGCAGTGATGCAACCAGTCAGGATGCTCTCGATGGTGCAGCTGTAGAACCTTTTGAGGATCTGAGGACAAGGTAGTCGAGTGATGCCGTGGTACACTTGGTCTCCAAAAGCTAACATCAAATGTGAAGATTGGTTGATAAAATGCTGACCTCAGATTTTTACGAAACATTAATTCAAGAATTCAATACCATCATATTGTAACATACAGCATGCACCAAGTATCTGACCTCACACCATCCAACTATTGACAACCCTCCCTTGGAATACAGTGGGGTCTGACATTTTTGACACCCTTGATAAAGATGTGCAAAAATGACTGTAAAATAAATAATACAAATACTGAGCTATATTTTATGCAACAAAAAAAAAGGGAAATTCTATTTTATACCAAAACAATTGCTCAGAGAAATAGATTTTGTTTAACAAGTAATACTTTTCTCTCAAAGGTAGGGGTCAAAATTGACACCCCTGTTTTCAATACCTTCCAATACCTCACCTTGCGAGGATAACGGCACAGAGACTTTTTCTAAAAAGTTGTATGAGTTGGAGAACACATTGGGAGGGATCTTAGCCCCATCCTCTATACAGAATCCTTCCAGATCCTTGATATCCTTCGTCTGCGTCAATTCAAACCACAGGTTTTCAATGGGTTTCAAGTCCAGAGACTGAGATGGCTATTGCAAAATGTTGATTTTGAGGCCAATCGTTACGTTCACCCCTCGGGTGTAGTTCGTCTGAGGAGGAGACGTAAATGCCCGTGCCTATGCACACAATGTAAACTAGATGGATGGGGAAGAAATGTGGGGTGTAACTAACTAAAATAACCAGACACAACAACCAGAACTCAATGTTAGCCCTCTGGGGATGTTTAGTAAGGTACTGAACAACATATACAACACCCATAAAGTAATAAAACAAAGACCAATCAAACAAACCAGGGAAGGTAAGAGAAGGGAATGTTTGGGAACGGGGTCCAAGTAATGAAAATAAACAAAAGGTCCCTCCTCTTCTACACACCTAATCCTTCCTAACACACTCTAAGCCCTAACCCGCTTTCCTACCTGTTACCACAAATACAGGGGTGACACCCACCCGGCTAACCTAGTGTGTAAAACAGTGGGTTATCTACGTGTGAATGTACACCCATGGGCAGAACTACTTTTCCCTTCTCCAGGACCTAGGTAGGGTGGAATACAGCAGGAGGACAGGCTGGAACACAAACAAAGATAAATCAAAACAACCAATAACCAAATCCTCAAACAGCCAAACAACAAGTGTGTACTGGCGGCTATCTATTGTTCCACAGGAAGCTTATCTTAAATCACAAACATTAGATGACTTAAACACGAGAGCAGTGGACCAGGCTTTGAAGTGGACCAGGCCTTGAAGGGTGAGCGACCTCTAATTTAATATCAGTCCCAATGCTCAATCTTCTTCAAGTTACTAAGATATTGCATTATCAGAATGCTATCTGAAAGCCAATTACCATTCACTTTGTTACTTTCACTAGTCTTCTAATACACACGGATCACTCTCAAACAACATTCTACTTTTCTCCCTATTGCAAGGTTTAAAACTAAACAACACAAACATGATAACTTTCTCCATATTGGAAGGCATTGTTTTCATTTTAGTCTACCCTAACAATGTTACTCTATATATTTATTTCATATTTCTGTTGGATATTCACTTTCTGCTTCACACTTATTAAATGTATATTATTTTAAGATTCATATGTAATGTGCCAAATTTATCAAATACATCGGTCAATTCATTTACATTTATATTTTAGTCATTTAGCAGACGCTCTTATCCAGAGTGACTTACAGTTAGTGAGTGCATACATTATTTTATTTATTTTTCATACTGGCCCCCCGTGGGAATCGAACCCCCAACCCTGGCGTTGCAAACGCCATGCTCTACCAACTGAGCTACATCCCTGCCGGCCATTCCCTCCCCTACCCTGGATGACACTGGACCAATTGTGCGCCGCCCCATGGGTCTCCCGGTCACGGCCACCGTCATTGGAATGTTCTATACATAAGGTTTCTGGCACCTGAGACAAAATAGACTGGGAGGCAGTGTCAATTTGCCTGCTTACTCATTGGTTTAATATCCCATCGTTTGGGATATCAACGAAAACTCCATCAGGAGTACAATAAATTGTAGCCTTAAGTTTAGTTAACAGAAAATCATGTTCAACATTCATTGGTTCTATTTATAGTTTTATTGGTTAGGGGTAAGTCAAGTCCCATACAATGCTTTAACCTTATCATACCTCAAATGATCCATAAAGGGACCACTGAAGTTATCTCAGAATACTTTGTACACCACTTACATACGTCAACGTGTGGGTGTGCAAGTTGTATATTATAATAATGTTTCTATTGTTACTTCATCAGATCATCATAATAACTAATTATACTCAATATTATGTTACTTTATCTCTAGTAACCCATTATACATTTGTGTTACATCACAAATTCCTCCTTTAGACTAGTGTTCTATTCATACAGGGGTTTAGATATTTACAGTGGGGGAAAAAAGTATTTAGTCAGCCACCAATTGTGCAAGTTCTCCCACTTAAAAAGATGAGAGATGCCTGTAATTTTCATCATAGGTACACGTCAACT